ATTGTATATTATATATTATATATAATATCATATTAATATATATTAATATGTGTTATATTGTATATTATATATTATATATAATATCATATTAATATTATAATATATATATATATATAGTATAACATAATAATAGTAAGAAAACGTTCGAGATAAAATTATTTAAATAATATTATTCATATAACCCATTTTTATATTTGTATTCTCGATATATGGACTTAGGATTTTCCACGCGAACGAACTATAATACAAATCCGACTTATTTTTAAAACCCTATAATAATAAAAGAGATAAAGAAAGAACAAAAAATTGATCTAGGTCAATCGTATGAACGAAAAAGATAACCAATTTCGAAATGACATCTTCCTTCCGACCTTTTCATACGTAAAAACTAAAAAGAAAAGAAAAAAAATGGTGAACGGGATCATAATGATTTCTCATCATCAGATCGGTCAACTTTTTTACTCGACTTTTCTATCTTCCTTTCTCTCTCTCTCTCTCTTTCTCTCTCTCTCTCTTTCTCTTTCTTTCTCTTTCTTTTTCAGCTTTTATTTTCTTTCTATTTGTATTTACTTTTAACGTGAACAAACCATATACACGATCATCCTAACGTGTGGCAAAGAAATGTGTTTCTCACGAACGTGACTTTACCTTAGGAAAGAACAAATTGAAACTATTTGGTTGTGTTGCGTTATTAAGTTTTTTCATCCTATTCGTGTGTACATATAGAAAAAAGAAAAAAGAAAAAAGAAAAAAGAAAAAAAAAGAAGAAAAAAAAAAAGAGATAGAAAAATTCCCCTTTTTAATAATTGGAAGTAATGTGTGCTGGTGTTAAATGCAATGTTAAATTTGTAAAAGTAATCATACAAAAATCAATATAATGAAATAAAAAAAAAAGAAATGAAAAATGTACCAACGTAGAGAAAATAAAAAGATAATACAAATATTTGATCGGTCAATTTTATCGTATTTTTTTTTTTTTTTTTATAGTCTAACCTATAAAGTTGTTCGTTTAATGGTTCGTAACATGACATATATATATATATACGAATAAAAAACGATTGAAAAGATTCATTGATTGAATTTCTATATGGAACACAAATCGTAAATAATCGATTAACAATTGATATATTATATATTATTTGTTTTATAATATATATTTATATATATTATATAAATTTATACATAATATTTTTCATATAAATTTTATAATATATATATATATATATATATATTTTAAATACCTAATTTTAAATCTAAAATTTATATTAATTTATATATATTTAAATCTAAAAAATTATAAATATAAATTATATATAAATTTAAACCTAATATAATTTATATTATTATTATATTATTATATTATAATTATATTATATTATATTTATATTATTTTTTATTTATTTTTATTTACATTGTATTTATTTTATTTATATTTATAATTATTATATTAATTTATATTATGATAAAATAATAATATAAATTATTAGGTTTATTATATATTATTATTATTATATTATTATAATATAAATTTATATTATATATTATAAATTTATATATATAATAAAATATCATTAATACATAGAAACAATATTTTTTGCATTTCATTCTGATAAATCATTTTTTTTTCATTTCATAATTTTTTTCTAATTTAAAATCAAGTAAATTTTCAACCACAAGAGATTCATTTGCAATTATATGATTTAATTAAATTATTAAAAATATAATATATATTTTAAAAATTGATTGAAAACGAATATCTGATCCTGTCACCCCCTATCAAACGATCGAACGTTATTGAATTATCGTATGAAGGTTTCTTTTTGTTTTTTTTTTTTTTCATTTCTGTATCGCTTTATTTTACGTTAGTTTCACATTGTATATCGGTCGCAACACCTTCAATTCATTCTCACAAAACAACGTTTTCCTCTAACCCAAATCCTGCCAGCTTGTTAGCAAGCGTACAAGAGAAACAGTATCCAATTTCCTATACAATCGATAGAAAAATAAAGACGCTAAAAAGAAAGAAAGAAAAAAAAAATTAGAAACAAATAACAAAAATTCAACATGATTTATATTTATGTGTTATATATAAATCTATACAATCCCAAGAATTAAAAAAAAAAAGAAAAAAAAGAAAAAAAGAGAGAGATAAAAGAAAGAAAAAAATAAATTAAAATTTTTTACAGAATGCAAAAACCTTTTTTTTCTCTCTCTTTTTTATTATCCCTTTGTACCTGTCGCGTCCTTTTGTTCCCATTTTGTTCTTTTTCTGTTTTTATAGGAATTTTTTTTTTTTTTTCTTTTTTCCATTTTCTATCTTCACACCTTTTGTCAATACAAAAAACAGCACACGTTCAAAAGCAAATAATTCAAAACCTTTTTGTCATTTTTTCCTGTTGCAGCCAAACTTTAATCCAATAATGGCGATGCTCTACACACTCAACTTTTTCCTACTGTGTTTAAACGTTAGTATTTTTCAAATTGTATTTTATCATTGATACATGCATACAAAAACCTACATACATACATTTATATATATAAAACGTATTTTATATTCATATCATTTATTAATGATAAATAATTCCAATGATATAAAATGAAAAAATTGAGAAAAAAAAGAAAAAAGAAAATGAAATTAGTTCATTGGAATTATTATTTCTTTTTTTTAATTTATTTTGTCATTAAAATATTCATTTATATTATAATTATAATTATAATATAATTATATTTAAAATAATATATTATAATTTTCAATTGTAATTATAATATAATTATATATAAAATAATATATTATAATTTTAAATTGTAATTATAATATAATTATATATAAAATAATATATTATAATTGTAATTGTAATTATAATATAATTATATATAAAATAATATATTATAATTTTAAATTGTAATTATATAATATAATTATATATAAAATAGTATATTATAATTTTAAATTGTAATTATATAATATAATTATATATAAAATAATATATTATAATTTTAAATTGTAATTATAATATAATTATGTATAAAATATTGTATATAAAATAATATATTATAATTATAATTATAATAATATTGTATTATATCATATTATATAATATTATGTTACATTATGTTATATTATAATTAAAAGCATGTAATTAATTATGTAATTAATTATTTATATATAGGTGTACTCTCTTCTATGTGTTATCTCACAATATCAAGAATATTTGGCCGATCGTGGTACGGCAGCGGATGACAACAACTACAGGGTCAGTATTCTGAAAGTCTCACGAAGAAAAGGGCAACGTGATAAGGGAGGAAAAGTTAAGTGTACAAATATTCATTTTTTTTTCATCATTCAAATTCATCATTCAAATTCATCATTCAAATTCACTATTTTTATCTTCAAAAGTTCACTTTTGTTTTTTTTTTTTCGAATGAAAAACCTTAAAATCGATATAAAAATATTTCCACTAGTTGTACGTTGAAAATAGTTTTTTCCACAAACTTTATCACTATATTAAAATACGAAGAAGTCGTAAACTATTATCGTCGTATAAAAGGAAAGTATAAAAATCGATTGATTATAATATTATTTTAGTGTTTCCGGATCATATGACAATGTGGCTAAAGACGATTTCACATGATTTACAGTACTTACAAAAATATTATCTTATATTCGGCACAAAACGCGTTTTATCCTTTTATATATGTAACATCAAGTAAGAGCCAATAACAGCACGAGAATATAACGAGATCTTTGGTATTGATCGTTTTTCCCTTCTTTCATCTCGATTTTACCACTTCACTAAATCGTATCAACGCGGTTCTACCTATTTATATCAATCTTTTTAATTATTTATTACTCATATAATAATAATATTATTATTTATTTAGAAAAAAAGACATATTTAAAACAATTTACAAATAAATAAATATATTAATGAATAAAGTAATAATTAAATTAATCAAATTAAAACAACACTCATCTAAACAGAATTAAAAACAATTTTAAATTGTATTTAATATAAAATAATAATTAAATTTTAGCAATAATTTAAATAAATAAATGAATAAATAATAAAAGTAAAAATTTTTAAAAATAACAAATAAATTAATAAATAAAATAATAATTAAATTAATAAGATTAAAACAACATCTAATCTAAACAAAGTTAAGACAAACGCGATTATTATTATTTTCAATTAATTTTTTTTATATGTAATCTTATATATATATATATATATATATGTAAAAGAAAAATATACGTGTATAAGTACGACATATCTTTGAATTTCGCTTACCCTGTTGTCGTCGCAACCCTAAGGGAATAGAAATACGATGCATCAGCTTCTTTCGCTTGACTTTACTCTTGGAATACCGATGTTCACTTGATATATACAGTACTAGTCGAGATATAAAGCCTGTATACAACCTTGTTACATTTTCAAGAAGAACCTATCCTTCTTTAAACGATTTTCACAAATTTTTTTTATACAAAATACAAAATGATTTCTATGAGGATGAAACAAAAAAAAATGTTCTCACGTTTCATTCAATTTACATATTTTTTTTTTTTAACGTTATCTAAACAGCCTGAATCTTATTATAATATTTAATGAGAAATGATTTATACCCCTTTTTTTTTATTTAAACGATTTTCAAACTCATATATATATACATTGAAATTGTATAATTTGAAATGAAATTACAACGTTACGTTAAAGTAGAAATACAGCATATGCATGTCATTAAATAAATTTGCATAATTGAAACAACTTAAATCTTAATAATTTGTTTTTAAACGAATTTCAAACTTATATACAATCCAAATTTTCATTTGAAATTAATTATACGAGAAATCGATTAAAAATTATTTCATATTATATTTATATTTATTTAATTACTAATTTAATTATATAAAAATGAGTTCCTGTTCGTATGCAACCCTCGAGACACACTTTGAAAATGCTGCTTGCGAGCGACATCTACTGGGACGGAATTTTTTTGCAGTCAAAACTGTTCATACACATATGTATGACGGGTTGCCTATCTTTCGAGCAGACAAAAAAATTCCGTCCCGAGAGATGACGCTTGCAAGCAACATTTTCAAAGTGTGTCTGGAGAGTTGCATTCATACAGGCGTGAATTTTTATAATAATTACAAAGAAAGTAAATAATAAAACACTTTCAAAAAATATTTGCAAATGAAATATTTTTATAAATAATGATATAAAAATTGAACTCTAATATTGTAATTAATTTATGCATATTTTTAGAATAATATTTAGTATTTTATATGAAATAAAAATTAGAAGATCATGTGTGCAGATCACACGTGTTAAATTCATTATTTCAATAATAAATTCGATATAAAAAGGATCAATAGAAATAAATGATATTAATTAACATATAATTAATTACCGAGGCATATAATATAATCGAAGTTGATCTGATTGCAATTAAATGACTATATTTGAAAGAATATTCAATAAGCAAGTAGAATATTATACCCAAAGGAAACAGTATACCATTGATTAGGCATACCAGGATAATCAAAGAGGATGATTCAAGCTTTGAATAGTTTGAAGTGTACTGATTGTATACCAAACAAGGTTTAGTGTAAATCGATGGGAATCACTTAGTAATATATTATATTATATGTGTATGCATCTATTCCTCTGTGACTCAATGTAGGAAACGATAATTACGAAATTCAAATAGATCTCTCTGATGTAAGAGAAAGCCATTGTATATTATAATTATTATCCTTTCTGTATAAATCTGTACAAGTGTTTACATACGTATTCAAAACAATAATTCTCTTCAAAATAATACAAATATAATAGATCAATAAATTATATGTATTATTATTAGAACATTAACACTTTAATGGCCGCTCACACAACATTTGTGTGATAGCCGAAACAATTTTTATTAACTTTTATTTATTTATAACTGTATATATATATATATATTTAAAATTATATAAAATTAAATTTGTTATTGTTTTATGTTAATTTTTGTCGTGAATTTAATAAATTTTGTTTGAAATGAATTCTTCAAAAATATTATCGTGCCCCATGGCAACGTGTGATTACATAAACGTGCGGCCATTAAAGTGTTAAGATATTTATTATCATACACATTATTGCAATATTATATTATATGCAATATAATTAAATATAAATTATAATATTTGCAATATTACAAATGAAATTTGAATCGAACAACCATTCTTTCTTTGTTTCCACTTTTATGTTTTATCACAATTGAATAAAAAATTATTCGAAACAATGGTATTCAGGTAAAAAAAAAGGTTTTAAAACAGTCATTATGCGACATACTTTTGAAGGTTCCAGTTGTGAGATACACGGTACAACCAACAACAACTGCAACAACATCCTGTTTGAGCTCACGAAAAACACCTACTACCACTAACGAGACGAAGATAACACCAACACCAACCCAAAGTCCAACTACATCACGATATCTTTCCTTTCCTATAAAGAGTCCTACGGTAGGACGAGCACATAAAAAGCACGTTCAATTTCCGGACACTCCAACGTCAACGTCGAGTTCAACGCCAACGGCAATACCAATGTCTATGGAAAAATCAGGTGAGTTTCATCTCTTCTACTATCCTTTGATCAATTTACCAATAGTAAAATACCAACTGACAATATAATGGAGGTCTAACTATATAAAAATATCTAAACATAATTTATATTTCAATAAATAATTATTATTATTATTTAAATGGTGTCACTTGAATGAAACTTCTTTGATCAATTAACCCTTTCTTTCGAGTACTATTGATAGTGTGTATATATATATATATATATATATATATATATATATATATGTCACGTAATTAGAAAATTAATAGACCATAAACAAATAGGACAATTTCTGTACAATTTTCTAATTCTATAATTACACATAATATTTCTTTTTTATAAATAATATAACATTACAATCACACAATCCTTGATTGAGATATGCAATCATGTTAACTATTGTACTACTGATACAGTAGTATATTAATTAAATGTCAACATCCCTCGTATGTATTTCTACCCATAACAAATGGTACTCGAAAATGAAAGGATTGTTTAGAAATAAAATATTATTTGAATATAATTATCAATTTTGTTCACACTTTACGATATCAAATATACCAATAATAAATAAAAATATATATATACTATAAATAATAGTATACTAATACTAAATAAAAATATATAATACTATAAATAATAATATTAATAATAATAATAAATGTTTTAATCATATCTCTCGAAAATGTTTGATTTAACGGACTACTTTACATGAAAATAAAATTACTAAGAAATTTTACTCAATAAAATAATTTCAATATATAAATTAAATGAAATTTGATAGAAAATATTTCAATTGATAAAAGTTTTTATCAATTTACATAATTACACGAAATATATTTTCCATTTCATTTCACAATTACAAAGTACATACATCTGAAATAATATTTGTATGTTTGTTCGTTTGAAAATGTGTACTGAGTTACTTTAAAGATCAAAGGAGATAAATTAGGAACTACGCTTGTTGAATTTTAAACGGGATAAATTGGAAGGAAGGAAAATTGATTTAATCGTACCGTGGTAAGGTAACGTGTTATTTGATAAATTTCCCTTTTTCTATTTTCAGAAATTCCTTTGACGAACTCCAACGCAAAGTAAACTCAACCCCCATTCTCCCACCGGCCTGATGATACTTAGGAAAAGTTTCATCACACGAAACAATTATTATTTAATCATAGATCAATTGTTTCTAAGCATATTAATGCTGCTGTTAGTTAAATTGTAAAAAGAGAAAGCTTTTTGTTTCTCTATTCGTGGTCTATCGCGATCGATCGTATTTTCTAGGACAATCTTATGGTTCTCATGATTTTTCAAGAACAAGTCACGTGAGATGATGAGAGAGAATTGTAAGAATACTTCGTTAAAAAAATAAAAAAAAAAAGATTATCATCATCATCATCATCTCGCGAAAATCGTTAAATAATTAATATTACTAATAATAATAATAATAATAATAATAATAATAATAATAATAATAATAAGTACATTAAAATAAGAAGTTAAATGATAATAGATTTGCAATTGATCGACTGTACCTGTTCTTTGTATTTGTATATATATTTTTTAGAGATATCCGAAAGAAATATGTGACATTTTTTCAATAAATCATCGTTTTATTGTATTTGGAAATTGAATTTTTTCCTACCCGATAGAAAGCAAGAGAGAGAGAGAGAGAGAGAGAAAGAGAGAGAGAGAGAGAGAGAGAGAAATGGATGGAAAATAAATCAATTAAATGTACACACGTGTATGATACATTTGATATTAAATTGAAATTGTTCTTTATAAACAAGTCAAATTTTCCAGATTTATTTTCTTTTTGTTTGTTCCAATTAAGAAAATTGAATTATCAATAATTTATTTACTTGGCATTCACCAATGTGTCAGCTGTTAATAATCCTATGTCAAAATGTTTAACAAAACTTTTATATTCATATATATATATATACAATTTTCCAAGAATGTTTCATTTTAAGGATTACTGAAATACGAAAAACAGCAGATATTTATGTATATATATATATATATATATATATCAATTTTGACAGTATAAATTTATCACAGATATTATAATGTGATCTAATAATTTTTCTTTTTTGTTTGTTTATTTTATTAATGTCAAATTATTCATCAAAATTAAGAATATTATTTTTAAATATATCTTTATATATATACACAGACACAATACATTTTAATTAAATTGTTTATCTCAACATGCAACTATTTACACGATTATAATTTCATTTCATTTCGTTTAATATTATTTCATTTGAAAAATAAACAAGACACATGCATATTATAATTTTTATTATAACTTTCACTCGAAAAAGAATATATATATATATATATTATATGTGTTTGTGTATATATATTTGTCAATAGTTACGATCTTATATAATATCTATCTCAATCAAAAAAAATAACAGAAAAAAAAAAAATATATATATATATATAAATTAATAAATAATATAATGTATTCTATTCAGTGTGTTGTTATTGGTTTACAATATTAATATTCATATCTCTAAATGAACATAATTTGATGGTTATCAAGTAAATCATTTTCCTTAACAGATGAAAAGGTTTTATTTTTACATGATGTTTAATACGAGTTTTCTTTTTTTTTCATTTATATATATATATATGTATATGTATATGACAATGATAGATGTATGATATTCGTTCGGATACTGTTGGTTTTTTTTTATACTAACTGAAATACTGATTTTGGCATACATACATATATAAACACAGCCGATGAAAACGTATCATTTATAAATATCATACATGGTAGTTTTTTTTTTTTTTTTTTTTGTAATTGTTTACATATGAATAAAGCGTATTTTGTTATTATTAAATTATGAATTACTTTGTTTGTTAAACCCACTTATATATGCGCAGACGCACGGGAATAATGTTATTAATAATATTAATGCTATTTTCACATTATTATGAATTTTTCTTACGATTATTATTATTATTCTATAAGAATTATTTGTATTTAATCTGTTTATTTTTTTTTATTATTATTATTATTATTATTTTGTTTCATTTTATTTGAAAATCTCTGACGTATTGTATTTTAAAAGACACACAAAAGGTGCTTTCGATAACAATTACTTTTCATTAATTCAAAAATGGATTCATATTATTTCATCATTCACAACTATTCAAAAAGTATCTTATTGTTCAACAATAACAATGTTAAATTAATTGATGTTTAATGAACAAGAGCAGAAAAAACAGCTCGTAGAATATGATTACATATACCTTACATCGGATTTATGATTATACTTAAAAATTTATGTTTATATATATATATATAATCTATTATTTAATAAATCTTGTATGTTAAAGAAGGGGGAAAAACAAAATTAAAGTAAAAGAAATATATAATTGACGATTAAAATTTCCTTTAAAGAAATGATATAAATAGAAATTAAAAATTTGTTCTGTATAATATATAATTTTTTCATAATTATAATTTAATAAATATATATTTAAATACTTATGATTTGTTTATGCAAATGGTAGTACTGAATACGTTACAACTTTCGATATAATCATAAATATGATATATGAATGAACAATGAATAATGAATATATTAAATTCATTATTATTAATTCGTTAATGCTAAAATGAAATTTGAATCTAAATCTCACAACTAAAAGAAATATTATTTAACAAAGACGTGAATTCGTTTGTATATTAACTGGACCACGACAATTACTAAATGGAGGATTCTCGTCATCAGAATTATCACTTCGGCGAAATAACGTAATTGGATATCGACTTTGTTGAGATTTTTCAGGTTGATGTGTTAATTCTTCTATATATGCAATTCTATCCTTAGCAACTAATTCTTGTATATGTTTACTTAACATAGATAATTCGATCTTATCTTCATAAATTCCATTGGACGACGATCCTAATTTCTCATAAAAGAGTATGTAAGGCGTATCTGGTGATCTTAAATTTTTTAAATCTTCTAAAGTAGTACAAGAAACAAAACTATCGTTGAATTTGTACCAATTTTGTTTAGAATCACAAGCATAAGTGAAATAATGTCCATAATCCATACTGAAACCGGAGTGTACAACAGCTGCATAAAGTTGATAAGTTTCAGTTATTGAATTTGGTTGAGTTGATACTGGCAATTGTATAATGTTATTGTATAAAACTTTATGCTTTAATTTAGTTTTTAATCTAGTTTCAAAATCGTAATTAAAATGTTTCAACGTTAATATTAAATGTGACGGTGCTTGTAAAATTTTAATTATTCTTTCGGCATCGCATAATATTCTACATTTGTCGCATCTATATTTATTATCGCCAGTTAATTTTTCTGGTGCTAGATAATAATCTATTAGATCTTGAACAGATATGGCTTCTTGATTTTCATTTAATTCTTCCGGGAAGCACAATTGAAGATCACGAAATTTATCTGTGTTGTGTGAACATGTATTGCATCGTGCGCACTTATAAGTAATTTTTGATTCTCCGCCTAACACTCTATGTACAAGAGATGATGGTATACTTATTTCCTCTCCTCCAACAGATTGTATTCCACTGTCTGTTGAATCCGAATGATAATCGGAGAGATTTTGTGTCTGTGTTAGCTCGTCACCTGGTCAATCAAAATAACATTTTTTTTTTTTTTTTTTAATTAGAAAAACGAAATAACTAACAAGATTATAAAGTTTGAAATTAAAGGTATCTTTACAAAATGTAAGAGAAATAATTACCTTGCGTAAAATCAGCTAACGATTGAGTTTTTCTTTGTAAAATTGTATTCCCTGTTAAATTTTCTTCTGTGGTCCAACGCTTAATGACTGCTGCTGCTTCTATTGGCAAATTATCGTTGTCTTGTATATCGACTTTACATTGATAGCTAATTAAATCATTTGTGGCACATCGTTCTTGTTCGTGTAACATATCTAACAAATGACTGTTTGGAGAGAAAGAAAAAGAATCTATTAGTAAATATAAAAAGAAATAATAATAATTATTATTTTATATAAACATTGTTTTTAGTATTACAAGTAGTTGAAAGAATATTATACGAACCAGAGAAATTCCGAGCTATCCTGTTGTTGACCAGGTAAAAAAGAAGCAGGTCGACAAGCATTCCACATTTCATTTGGCGATAAAGTAATTCTATTGGAGTATAATAAAAGAGCAAATACATCTTGCAGTTTCTTCAATATAACTTGTTCGCCATTATCGTTAAAAGATTTATAGTTTAATACTTCGTGACAAAATTCTCTTGTCATAAATAAGGCTTGTAATACACTGTTCATATAGCATGTATTTCCAAGATTAGAAAGACCCACTTTCCCGGTAATAGATTTGGGTGATTCTAAAAAGGAATCTAATTCTCTTTCATTAGTCCAAGTTGGTCCGATAAGTATTTCTTTGCCAATACTGGATTGAGATCTTACAGGCAAAATGATTTGCGAAGATATATGATCTTTAGAACGAGTAAGTTTTGTCTTAAGTGCCTTCTTAATGTCGGTCATATCTTGTATACATTCTATATTAGATTTATCTATATTAATTAATATCTGATCTATCATATTAATAACAATTTTTAATAAACGTAATGAGCCTTGTCTTTCTAAAATAGGAAATATAATTTTGGAAGCATTGTGACGATGTACTGATTCTAACGAACTTGAAAATATTGTTTTCAACATTGTTTCTAGAACTTCCATAAGTATCTTATCCTTTTTCCTTCTTTCTAAACCAAATATAAATTCCATTATCCAACGACCAAGGCTATTTCCTTTCCAATTTGGAAGCCAAGCACATAAGACCCTTAAAGCCTGAACTAATTTATCTTCGCATTGAGATTCAAAAATCCAATCAACCGCTTCTTCTGAAGGTTCATTCAATTTTAATACGGATGCTAATGCAAGTGCTGGTTCCTGCTTTTTATCTTTATCTGATATAATTTTGTATAATGTTTTCAAGCATACAGGAACAAGTACTTGTTTTTTAGAACATATTTCACACAACAAAGTCTGAATCTTGATAACATTTTCATTAAACTCATCATTTTTCAATGGTTGATACGGTGGAGAGAGATTGGCCAAACTTATCACTATTGCTTCTCCAAGTTCTACATAATTATTAGACTCACAAAAAAACATATCGTAATCTTTCAATAGCTCAAGAATCTTCCTTAAATCTTCCATTTCTTTCTTGATGTCTGTATTTTTCAAGAACATTGTTAAATCACTAACAAACGTATTAACATTCGAATTATGCGTTATTACGTTTTTACAATACCAAGAAATAATACCAGGTATTTGGTTAACATTTGTAACACAGTCCCATAATGGTTTCAATATATCAACACAATTATTAGCTTGTTCGTATACCTGATTACCTTCGATCTTCTTTAATTTGGCCCATCCCTCAGCAATCTCCAATGGTTTTCCTGTTACTATTAAAGTCAAGCTATGTTCTATATCACGTTGTATTTGTCCCGTACCCATTGTTATTAATTAGGTGCACTGACAAATTGCACTTATAACTTTCTCTTTCTTTATATATCTTTACTCAAATGAACTTATAACTATTTTTAACCTCAATCGACAATGACTTTCACGAAAATCAAAATGATTTCATGGTCACACGAAACAGCTGGTCAAACAGCCAACACGAACAAATTGGCACAATGGTATTCACCGCTTTAGGCCCATAACACAACTTTCTAAGATCCATAGAAAGATCAAAATATTCACGATAATAGGTTCCAATTACGTACGAGTCATTAAATATAGCTACTAACTGACCAATGAAATCGTATGATATAAACTTATGTTTAAAACGATATCTTCTGGATTGGTCGATACATTTTCGATATGTCTCGAAGTATAATTTTATATTACGATATTAATTGATATTATTCAAATATTTTTTTTATTAACTATGCGAATTTTAATTGTTCTCATTATTATTTTCTTTTTATTTTTATGTTACTAGAAAAATTTATCTGAGGTGATACAATTTAAAATATCTCTAGTATCGATAGATACATTATGGCGCGAAATACAAAAAATAAACTAAACATTTACTTGCTTCGATAGTCACATGATTAATCATCATTTAATTATTTATAAACGACGTCTAAAATTAATAGGTAACATATGTTGTTTCTTACTATTGTATAATTAGAAAAATATTTTAATTGAAATATAATCTATATTTAATATGATGATTCATGTAATATGATAAAAATAAGAACATTTCGAAAGTCAATTATAAAATACATGATATTATCATATCTTATCCGTTAAAATTTGATGTTAAGATCATTCCTTGATTTCACGTTATATTAGAATTTGTACATTGTGAAATTATTTAACACTCTAATACTTAAAATTTTGCTTATATATATAGCAACTTTATAAAAGTTCAACAATTGTACTAATTTAAACAATTTCTATAACAAAGAAAGAAAAATTGTTATAGGCAAGACACGTCGTTGATTATTTCAGCCATCATATTTTTATCTTCTAACGCTGCACCGATTTCTTCTTGATCCCATTGTAAACTTAATTTGGATAAACGAGCCTCCTTTTTCTTAATTATTCTTAAAATTCCTCTAGTTTCTATCAACGTACATAAGCATACAAATTCCGAAATATCTATAGCGTGAATATTTCTTTTCTTGCAAACTTTTTTATAAACCTCGTGCAACTAAAACATATGTAAAATAAATTATTAATCTAATATATCATTTTGAAATATATTAATATTTCAAAATACTAACCTTTTTAATGGTAACATCTTTATTTTTTCCCTTATTTAAAATAAGTATGAAAGAACATAATAATAATTTTTGTTGTAAGGGAAGTGTACTTTCTTCTTTATCAATGTTTTGCGTACCACCATAAACACCATTTAATACTGTCATTACATCTTTTACATCAACAGGCTTTTCGCTCAAAGGTTGATCTTTTCTTGGACTAGTCGTATTATTTACAGGTTGTAAAATTTGTGATGTCTGATGAGATTCGGCAAGCTCGATAACTCTTCTACTAATATCCAATGCTCTTCTAATATCACCTGAAATGGCAGCAACTTTTCCAGCTAACAATTGTAATGCTGGCCCAATTAACATATCAGGAACATTTGCTTCTTGGAGTCTGGTAGATAAAATATTAGATATTTGTTGCTTCGTATAAGGAGGAAAATTTAGCAGTTGTGGCTTTAATTCGCATTTCGCTTGTAAACGTGGTAAAATTCTATCAGTTAAATCCAAAGCATTAGCAATACCGATTAATAGAAGTTTTGTATTACGTTTTGATGGCCATTCAAATATGGAATACAAAATAGATTGATTTCTGCTTTCTAATTGATCTATTTCATCAAGAATTAATAGTAGCATTTTATGATCAGATATCAAATATTTTTCTATCATTGCTTTACTGATTTTACTAGATTTTGGTACAGTTAAACCTAACTCTTGTATGATCTTTGAATAAATAGTTGCAGCTGATTTCATCGTAGTACAATTAACATAAACAACTTTGAATTTTGATTGAAATTCTGGTTGTTGCATAATTTTAGAAAGACATGCTGTTTTTCCAGTACCTGGAGGTCCAGAAACATAAAGCGATGCAGAAGATTCATCTTCCAAATGTTCACTAATGAATTCTTGTAATTTTGCTAATTCTGTTTCTCTTCCAGGCAAATTATCCGAAACAGAACTGTGCAAGGCTTTACGTGCATTACGATATTTATCTAAACCAAATAATTTCTTTGGATTTAATTTCTCCTTCTTTTCATCCGATGACAAATCAAGTTTATCTAAAAGAGTTGATGGAGTCAAAGGAACTTCTGCAGATTTTTCAGTTTTTCTTTGCTTCGGTGGTGAAGAACTATTGTCATCTAAAAAGATAACGAACACATATAAAACACTGAATAATAAATTAATTCTTAAACACTAAAAATATCAATATATGTATATACCTTCAGAATCATCAGACTTTCTTACACGTCTTGGAGTTGTAAGAACGTCGTTACTTCTATTTTCTTTGGAATTTGCTTTATTTATTTTAACATTTTCTGAGTCAGAATCAGATTCAGATTCACTGCTACTTAAAGTTACAATCTTTTTAACCTTTGGTATATATTGTGTAGGAATACTTCTCAAAGTTGCATTAGTGAAATCTTCTTTAATTTCACTTTCTTTGCTACCATAAAAAGTACTTTTCTTCCTTATTGGAAAAAGTATGTTCGTCTGTTTACTCATCTTCAATAAGTCAATAACTTTCCTTTTATTTTTTAAAATCAAAATAATTTCAAAAACAATATGTAAAAGTACTAATTATAATAAAATAGTAAATAATCAATGAATATAATATTATCACTTCTATATTTAAAGAATGCTTGTCTAAAAAACTTTTCAGTTCAACCTCAAACTAAACAAACGACTAGCTTCAAATCCTTATGATTTTCAATGAAATAGAATTTTAGAAATAATAGATAGTATAAATAATGCACGTAACTAAAGTAAACCACAATATTTGATGTTCCTCGCTCTATGGATCAGAATAAACCGAACACTAATGACTGACTACATTAACGTTAATAGCAACAAGTAATCTCCCTATATGTTTTCGCGGGAAAGTCTTTTAAACGCGGGAAAACGCGCGCATGTGAAATAGAAACAAACCGGAACAAGGAACAACAAAACTAATTCAATGCAAATATTAATAAACATTTCTATGAGTATTTATATAAAAATGTATATTATTTTTTTTATTTCGAATTTTAAATTTATATTTATTAACATTTTTAATTGTTAATCAATGACAGTAACAAAATTATAAAATTTATAGAAATCTAAATTAACATTACAGTGTGTTGTAGTACTCTTAACCAAGCCCTCTATAGGAATAAATGTTGAACTACAACGGACGATTTCCTGTTCCGTTTATATATTCCTTCTTGTTCATATTGATCCTGATTCTTGACAAGAAAGGTTGAATAAATCCACGGCAATCGACAATTAAACAATTTCGTCAATTTTTCTAATTTAAGAACATGAGAGCAAAGGTAAGCATTTAATTTATAATATTATTATTTAATGTATAACTATAAAAAATAAGTTATTAAAAATATATTAATAATCAAGGAAATCAAAGATTTGGTAGTTGCCTTCAGCCATGTGTGATGTTTAATTTATAAAGTTATTTGTTTTATTAAATGAGTAGATTCTATTGTAACTTAATTTATAATTTTTGATACGTCAATAATGTTTTTTACTTTTATATATTATATATGATGTTTTAATGATAATAAAAATGCTAATGGAGAATAGGTTATGTGACTAATATATGTTTTGTTTTCAGTGGCGTAAGAAGCGTATGCGCAGGCTAAAGCGTAAAAGGAGGAAGATGCGTGCGAGGTCCAAGTAAACTGTCTTTTTTTTTTATCTCTGTAAGTATATTTATGTGTCCAATTAATCTTTTCTTTAAAAGTATAGTTTTATAAATAGTTAATCGTTAACGTGTATGTACATCCATGCATAGCAATTGATAATCTAAATTTATAAGCTTGTTAACTCGTAATCTGCAAAAAGAGTTAAACGCATATTGATAATAGATTTCTTACAATATTTATAACAGATTTTTTCTTTTGTTACAGCTGTAGGAACGGCATAGTAAACTCACCGAGATGTCATAATTTCTAGATAAATTTATCAGAAGTCCAACATGCTCTATGATCTTGTAACAACCATTCCACCAATGTACCGTTCACACAGAGAGATAATTTTATAAGCCTTTATTTTGATCATCTTAAATAAAATGGAAACTCGACGTACACAAATTTATAATTTCTATCATTGTCTCCTAACCCTACTTTATATACAATTATTAATTTAAATTGATTTCAAGTAATACAGATTTAAATATAAATAATACGATTTCTATTTTATTATAATTTAAATATAATTGAATTTGAATAAATTTTGCTATTAAAATTAACTTAATTTAGTATAAATTATTCTCAGTATTCATTACCGCCATCTGAGATACTTCGTAGAGATAATCGTCAGAAAGATCTTGACCATCTTGGAATAATGTTTTGAGGTTAGAAAATTAAATGAAGAAATCATGAGCAGTAATATATTGTCAAATTTGTTACGTGCAAGAAAAATATACAAAACATTTATTTCTCATAACAATAGATCTATTACTTATTCTTTATTAAAACAAACAAGATGTTACTCAGATATTAATCCAAATACATTGTCTAAGGAAGAACCTGTGAATGAGGATGAAAATAATCTTGCAGAAAAGATTAGCTCAAGATATAAATTATTTCAGGACAAAGATTCTAAAGTTATTTTGGATGTAGATGAAGAACGAGAAAGAATGCTTTTAGATGATTTACGTAGAGAAGAGGAACATCATGATCCTTACGAAGGATTGAATTTAACACGTGAGTCAATATTTGTATATAAACAGTATATGTAAATTGAAACATTGATCAGAAATTTAAAAAGTGATTTAGTATTTATATATAAATAATATAAATAAACTTTTACAAATTAGAATATATATTGCCCTAATATAATAACCTATATAACCTATATGGTAAAAGTAAAATATTTATTAAAATGTAATTAATATTATAAAACATTTTAGGTGGTATAAATGGAGTGTATGAAATAGAAGATCTCATAGCTGTTCTTCAAAAGGATAATGCAAGGAATATCTTTGTTGCATCTGTACCAAAAGAATATAACTATGTTGATTACTTTGTAGTAGTAACAGGTAAATCCAAAAAGCATATGACTGCTTTAGCTGAATATGTACGTAAAATATTTAAACTGAAAAGGCATAAAACCGATATCATCCCAAAAATTGAAGGAGCAAATTCAAATGAATGGATAGCTTTAGATTTAGGTATAAATATTAATTCAAATAATCTAAATAATTAATTAACTTTATATTTATACTGCTAACACAAAGGATGTTTATTTCTAGGAAACATTGCGTTACACATATTCTCATCCGAGGCTAGAGAACGATTTGATTTAGAACTGTTATGGTCTGTTGGTTCACAGTATGATGAACTAACAAATACACCTCAACACGTGGATATTATGGATCGATATAACACTTTCCTAAATACATTTCAACCAGAAAATCCAGAATTTTCAGAAAATCCAGAAATCCCCAACAATCCATAGAAATATATACATTTTTATGTGGAATTTGTTAGGATAGTCTATAATGTTTGCGTAACTTACATTAAGACTGAAATAAATTCTGTGAATTACAACAAATTAGTATTATTATTAATGTTATCATAATTATCCTAATTAAGATATACATGGATTACTACAAGTGTGGACATTTTGAAAAATATCTGAGGTTTACATTTCTGAGTCCCTCCTGGTAAGATTTGATAAGAATATAAGATTTTTGTTTTAAATTATTAAGTATACTTCTAACAAACAAAATAAAAAACAATTTTATTTTATTTTATAGATTTTACTATAACCCTATTGTCTTTGCATCTCTCTCTTTCCTTCAGATATTATAATTTCTTTTAAATTTATTTTAACCAATTAAAATCTGCGCGTGCGCGTATCAATATCTATACATATATATATACGTAGTACATATTTGTTCTTTATCCTTCCATTTTTATTTCTTTCTTATCACCCCTCTCTAATTTTTGGACTATCAACACACATACTATCTCTCTTTCTCTTTCTCCCTCTTACAATAAACTATTAAAAGCAATTCGTTGTCTTAGCAACGCCGATATCTAAGAATCCTTTATCATTACTTGATAGAACAGACATTTATTGAACTATCTGTTCAGTTTGACGTGTGATGACTAATCAAACACATTACATACCGAAATCCATGTATTTTTGAGTAATTCTTTACCAATTAAATACACATATACATATATGCATAATTATACAACTCGTGTGTGTGTGTGTCAAACTTCTTACATTCTGTATCTGTACGATCGGCATCATTTTTTATTTCACTCTTATGTGTGCATATATTAATAAAACTTATATTAAAAAAAAAAATGTCAAACTATTTTGATATTTAAAAAAAAATTATATTTTTATCGTACGGTTTAATATTCGTTAAGATTTGTACACCTTTGTGAAAGCAGCTGAGCCAACAATAATTACTGTTTGACCAAAGTCAATTTATATATACACACGATTTCACCTTAGCTTCATTTTGTTTAAATGATTGCACCAATAAGTGAGATAATTTTATCGATAAAGAGAAACAGTTTTATTTGTTGACTTATAACCAAGGGAGACTTACATTTCTAAGATTGACTAGGTAAATCATTCATAGATCATTTCTTTTAATTTTATTTAATGATTTTTTCTTTTTCTTTTATCAATTGTATGAACAATTCATATTACTTTGTTGTTCTTTTGTATATATTATTTTGTTACTATGAATCAAACAATTATAAAATTTTGTTTAATAAATGTTTAATACATTTGTTTAGGAAAGATTTTCATGTTTGTTTTTTGTTTTGTATTTACGTACACACAGAATACGTTGCATGCAATATGATTATCGCGGGAAAAATATTTGAATTATGTCAAACATTGTTATCTTTATATCTAATATTTATTATTGGACGATTAGATATAATGTATTTGTAGTTAATATTTTTAATTGTTCTTTTTTAAATTTGAGATAATTTTAAGAGTTTATTTTTGATGTCTAAAAAGTATAAACAAAAATGAATCTTTTTTAGATTTGTAATTATTAAGGTTAGGATTCCTAGATAATAATTAAATATGCATGCTTACAATTAATGTATTATTTTTCTTTTGTTTTCTATTAAATTATATTTTTTACCAACATGAATTTTCTTTTTTTTCAGATATTTTATGTGTTATCAAAATTTGATGAATGAAAGAACAAATTAAAACATATGGGAATGAGTGAGAGTAATAATAATAAAAATGTCAAAGTCAGTATCAGTTTGTCAAAGAAAGTCATCTAGATGTTTAAAAATACCATTAAAATCGACTGAACAAATTTATTTGGTTTTCTTGATACCAACGCTAGTAAATTGTATAGTTTATATCATTCACTTCTCTGCTGATTTAGTTGTCGCTATACAACATTTTAGAGAACACAATCCAGTATGGGGATCTTGTACACTTTCTCTTATGTACGCTCCTGCTATAGTATATTTTATATTAACTATTTCAAGACCAGATTGGTGGATGACCGACAATGATAAATTAACAAAAGGAATTTTTATCTGGTTATTCATTCAAATATGTCAGCTCATTGGATTTCCATTCTTTGCGCTTTACAGGTATATTGTTATAATAACATGTTTAATAAATTATTAGAGAAACATTTACAATTATTAATAATTTGTTTTACATAGATATGCTGGACTTATCGTCATGGCTGTAGATGCTATCATCTTGACAGGAGAAAAAAGATCCAAAACGTTAAACATTTCCTCTGCACCTGCAGCCATCGAATTATATTTCTTTTTACAAGCCTGGTTTCAAGCTGCACCACAAGCTATATTCCAGACTCATTTACTTTTCCGAGAATATACAGTTCAGCGTAGTTTTCAATCGAGTATGACAATTATCTTATTCTTTAATATAATCCATACTTAAATAACAAACAATATATTGTATATATTTTATTTCTTTTTACAGTTTCAGTACATGTATTGTGTATTCTTATGTCTGTCGTGATACTCGCAATTGAGACAACTTCTTTTCAAAGATTTGAAAGTCAACGGATCAATGGCAGAAAGCTTCCATGGGCAATGTGGTTAAAAAAATATTGTATCAAGGTAACTTTTAATTAATTATTATAAAAAACATATCTATGTGATCAATTATTTATCTCACAATTTTATTATATACAGGAACTTCAATATCTTGAAGAAAAAACACCGTTACAATTATCTAACGTAACAGAGGATAATAACACGGCTGCTAATAATTCTAAGGAAGAATCAGATCAACGTGATGAAAATGTAAACAAATCTACAGAACAAAAAACAGAAACTGAAGCAGAAGCAGCAACAGTTACTTTAGATCGACAAATATCTGTAACTCCACCACTACCACCGAAAAATGCACATGTAACACCACCTCCTACACCTTTGAGAGGAATTACCACGGTTGTATCATTACCTGTACCGGATGTACCAGCACCTCCTCGTCCAGATTCAATTGTAAAAACATCAGAGAATCAGGATGTAGAAAATTCAAAGTCTATTTCTATTATTGAACCAAATCAAAAGTTAACAAATAGTAATCAAAGTTTAATATTTCCTAAAAGGAAACATTCTACCAAAGGATTAGACGAAGACGACCCAGTTGGAAAATTTCTTTCATTTCTTTGGTGGTTCTTTTTCATTTTAGCACGAATTCTTACCATAAGCATATTTTATGAATTTTATCCATATTATTTATTAGGTGCGCTTGGTATCCATTACATTATCATGTTGATATACCTCTTTTATTATACATCGTATTACGATGTAATCACATTTTTTATTAATCTTTGGCTCGGTTTAGTTTATATCATCAGTATGATAGAATACAAAATTAAATTTAAATATGCTGACAAATGGTTATTGCCATATTATATTTTCATTATTATTCAAAATACTGTATTTACATTAACATGGTATTTTAATGCTGAATTCGACGGATTTTGGTATAATTATGCACTATGTACAATTTTTATCAGTATGGCACTTTGTATTTCGTCAACTATAGTCTATCATGTTCTATTTAAACCAAAGAAACGAAGAATATACAGTAGTTGACAATCAATAAAAAAAGAATTATTCAAGCTAATAGTTTTGGTAAAGAGAAAAACTAAATATTAAATAAACATTAAAGTTCTTATGCTTATGAATATTGCAACGGAGCCATTGTGAAATAATTTCACAATCTGTATGACTGAATTAAAAAAAAATATTTCTTTAAAATCTTAAATCGTAGCTAATATAAAAAGATAGATCATAATCGATAATAATGACTGTTCTACTATAATTGTAATTGTTAGAAAAGTATTTTAGGGGTATAAGATAGAATAGTTTCAACGAATATAATAATTATGTGTATGTGTAGTATATTGTTAATGTATTTGTTGTTAATTATTATTATTATTATTTACAATTAATTATAGTCGTTTGATATATAATGTATAATATTTATAGAAAAATGATTCCTCTAGAAAAAAGACTTATAAATAGTTACTATATCTGGCAGCAAATTTTTTTTTTCATTTTTCAAAATAAGCGTACGATATATGATAATATTTACAATGTATTTTATATACACTGACAGCTACGGATATTTATACTGCTTTTGTATAATTATTATAAATTCTACATTTTTCACTGTATATTTTGGTGCTTTAAAAGTTGATATTTAGACATAAGAACTTTTAAAGCTCCCGTTGTTCGAATTTATTAAAAATATATTCTTTTGATATTTATTAAAGCATATCTATACTTCAGTTCATTTATAGAAAATATATATATGTATATATATATATATATATTAGAAAATAAATCTTTTACACATGTATGTTAGAATCTCTGTGTAGATTACCAAGTTGTGCTTCAAACAAAATATCACTTAATAACTTCTCCGCTATTATTCTTTGGTCTATACGCATATTTCTAAGTTTAGCCGCTACATTACGACCAATTGCATCAAATTCATCTTCCATAACGATAGAATTGTTGTGTGGTATTTTTAAAAAATCATTAGATTCAGGTTCTTCTGATTTTCTTCTTCTAATAACTGGATTTTGATCCGTCCATTCTGCAGATTGTTCATACAATTCTTCGCTACCAGGTTGACACTCTTCCTAAAAGTAAATAAATATTTGGAATTTCAGTAACGTGTATTAACTTTACTTATCGCACAAAATTTTATTGACAAATTGCTAAACATAGTAAAATGAATTTACTGGTTTATAGTATTTTCTGTATCTTCTTTTTGTTTTTATGATTTCTGCATATTTATCAGAAGATAAATCAATATATACCATTGCAGGTTTCCTTTGGTTAGATTTACATTTGATTTTTTCTATCATGAGTGGATGGAGTCTCTAAAAAGAAGAAGAAGAAGAAGAAAAAAAAAGAAACAATTCATAAAATTATATTAGATTATAAATACACCTATAAGTATATTAACACATTATCGCTTACTTTTATATGACTTAAAAAGTTCCCCGTAGATTTTAAATTTCCATTAAGCAATTTGTGACATTGTAAACATCTAACTGTAACATTAGTGTCCTCTACTCGAATTACTGTAAAGAATTCACCGTCTAGAATTGCAGGTAAGCGTACTGGAGTAAGTGTCATGTTTTGATGAATATTTGATTGTATTTGCGTGATTTGAGTTTGATCCTGTTGCATTTGTTGTTGTTGTTGTTGCTGTTGTTGTTGCTGTTGTTGTTGCTGCTGCTGTTGTTGTTGTTGCTGTTGTTGATGTTGATGTAATGTCGATGATTCATGATTATCTTGATTTTTTACTTGTACTGTTTGCATAGAAGTTTGCGCACCAACAGATTGATTTATTTCTTGCTGATTTGTAGCTTCAATCATACACGTATCAAAAGTTTCTATTTTATTGACATATTTTTGAGGTGGAAAATTTTCCATGGCTTTTTTATTTTTATATTTGCTTTGTTGTTATTATTGTTGTTATTGTTGTTATTTAGAATTATTATATTTGTCAATAAAATAAAAGAAATAATACTAATTTCTTTAGTTAATTCACTGTAAATATATATATGTATGATAAATATACATTAAAATAATCTTTAAAAAGTAATATTTAAACATTTTTTAAATATATATGTGTGTATTATATATGTATATATATATAGATATAATTACTTACTGATAGAGATAACACACTAACTAACTAGTACTATTTATCTTGACTTCTTATTGAATTTTAAATAAGTTATTAGATAAGAACGACGTACAAGAAAGATCTCAAGTAAGATAATAGATAAGAATTTACACGATATAGTATATATAACTATGATAAACTGAACTACCAATCTTACAGATTTTAAACTCTAGTTTTATTTCAAAATCACTTTTATATCAATTATATCATTACTAAATTTAATATTTTAATAAATATTTAATTTTTTTAATTCAACTTAGAATTAGAAATAATTATTTCACTATGTAACAAATAGATTTATACTGAATTTGTAACTATAAAATATAATACTATGGTTAGTTTCATAATAATCCGCTAAAAGTTCAAATATGGCGCTGCTAGTCACTAGTCTTGAGAAAACTAACTAGGATGAATTCTACATTTAGTGTATACATAGGATAAATAGTTGTATTTCTAGTTTAGTCGATGTATATTATTGCAGACGTCTAAACTTGGATTAGAGGTGGTTCAAGTATGATTGATTGTTAAAAAAATATTCTATTAATATTTCACAGAATTAAATAATAAAAATTCGAACGCGGGATATCTCGTAATAAAATATTGTTTATTGTTACAAACGGGTTAAATAATTTTATTTGTTCTTGAAATTTCGTGAAAGAAACATTTTACTGAATGTGTGAAAGAAAATATTTTCAAATTAATTTTATTGTAAGTTTACGTACCCAAAATAACCATTTTCAGTAAGATAATATAATTATTTTCTTAAACTGAAATAATGGCAATATCTTTGTCAGGTAACATAATATTTTCATTCTTATTATTAATTATAACCACATATTGTAATTAATAAAATATCATTAAATATATTTTTTATGATTTCATTATCTTTAATATTTTTTAGCATATTGGGTAAAGTTTTTCAAAGGTGCTGGCTTTCCACAAGATGTTGCAACCAAGCATGCAGTTGTATTTTCTAACAATCGTATTAAACCAGACATGCTGCCAGATTTGGACAAGCCTAGTCTTAAAGAAATGGGTATTACATTAATGGGAGATATGATTGCTATTATAAGATATGCAAAAAAAGTAGTGGAAGAAACGACATGTGAAAAATTTCTCGTCGACACAGAAGATCCAGATACACCAGCAAAACTTGTTAATAAACCGATAATTAAAAAAGCAGTGACCAAAGTAACCGCTAAATCACCAGTTGTAATTAAAACGAAATCATCTACGGTTACTAATCCAAAAACAGTTAAAAACACATCTACTGTGATTCCGAAAATAACAACTGTTAAGAAATCAAGCGTGGTATTACCAGAAAGTAAAAAACCTACAAATTCATTAAAAAGGACACTGTGTGTGGAACCTGAGGAAGGATACAATGAAAGTTATAGCAATGATTGGTCAGTTGTTGCTAAGAAAAAACCAAAGCCACAAACTAACAATGATGAGGATAATGATAAAGTAGGATATACGGTGATAATACCAAAAATGGCAGCTTTGAGAAATTTACCTGCTAAAAAAGCAGTCGAACAAAAGCGAACAGTATTTGATAGATTAGGAGATAGTTCAGTAACTAGTACAACCAATTTGCCTGAGACTTCTCCTACATTTAATGTTACTGGACTGGGTAAAAATACATATAAGAGAACGATAAGCGTTTTCAATCGTCTTGGCGATAAAGATTCTAATAAAAGTGACACGCCGCAATTAGGAATATTAAAGAATGGTACTACCAAGACAACCACTTCACAGGGTATTCTAAAAAATAGTAGTTCAAATGTAGGAATATCTAGTGTAGCTAAGAAGAAGATTATTGCTGCGGGTACAATGCATGCCGATCATGAGGTTAATAATAAAACACCTTCAAATAGTGTCAAGCGATTGGTACGAACAACTAAAAAAATTACTTTCAATGAAAATGGATCGAATTTAAACAAAACAAGAAATTTCGAAGTTACGTCTGGCAAATTAGGTATGAATTATTATCTTCAAAGAATTATATATCAATTTCATATATAATTTATTATTCATTTTATTTTAATTTCGTGTACTTTATTTACAGCTTCTGAACGACTTGCCACAATACCAGCAAAAGCACGATTAGGTGTGCTTAGATCAAGTAGTGCTAAACAAGTTACTTTCAATAGGGTTGCAACTGTTACGCACGTTAAAAAACCCGATGTTTTTAGTCGTCTTGGCATTTAAAGAAAACATTCAAACACATCATTTAAACATTATTTCCAATTACATATTCTTTGTACAAAGTAATATTATTTTTTCTCCTGTAAAGAGTATATATGTAAACATATATGTTTTAATATAAAAACAAAATCTATTGTACTTCTCAAATAGATTAGATAATATTCTTCGCAATTTTACACATACAAAAAATGAACTTTTTTAATATAAAACATAGTCAAATAATTACTTTTTAGATCATATAAAAAAACATATAACATTCAATTAAATTCAAAATTATATTATTTCAAATACCAAGAAAATTTAATAGGAGAAATTTGCACAATTCTGAGTCAACTACAAAGTATATGTAAAGAATTTATTTTCTTTTTCAAATGTTCATAGTATAATAGGGATCATTTTCAATCAAAATTATATAGATGATAAAAAATTGTTTCCCTATATGATAACCTGAATATTTTGTTGCTTTTTCTTTTTCTTTTTTTTTTTTTCAAACTAAGCAATCTCTAAAAGTCTTAAATATTTTAATATTATAAGACTTTTTTAATCGTTGTGATATTATTAATTATGTTAATTGTTGTGATATAATCTTAGCTTTCTTCAACATTTATTTTATGATTTAATGTGTTAAATGCCAAGCCTGTTTTGTTTAGGTTTCAGTTTAGACCAGAATAAATAATCCAGTGAAATATAGAAAAATGTAAACCAATGGTGATGGACACAGTTTGAATGGAAAGTCTTAGAGGTTTGTTAGTAAAAACTGGTATGGCATTTAACATGTTTAACAAATTAAGCTTTGCATTATGTTATCAACAAATTCAAATAAATATAATTCTAATATACGTAGGTTGGAACTTAAATAGTGGCAACTATTTATTCACAACCGATACAAAAGAGTTACATGTTTGCATCTGTTACTGTTCTTCAAAGTAATCACCAGCGTTGTGTAGAACCCGTTGCCAGCAATGTGGAAGGCGTAGTATACCATTAACAGAGCCTGTTCTGTTGATGGTGCGAATGGAGTCGTGCAGTGTTACAATACGACGTAAGAAAGCCTCTCCTTCACGCTCATAGCGCTCCAAGTGCGTCTGAGCAACGTCGTAACGCATTTCTGCATTTCGTCAATTCATGCGGAACCCATCGTGGCATTCGCTTCAGAATTGTTCCAGAGATTCGACAGGCAGTAGACCGCTCCATTCGCACCATCAACAGAACAGGCTCTGCTAACGGTATACTACGCCTTCCACATGGCTGACAACGGGTTCTACACAACACTGGTGACTACTTTGAAGGACAGTAACAGGTGCAAACATGTAACTCTTTTGTATCGGTTGTGAATAAATAGTTGCCACTATTTAAGTTTCAACCTACGTATTTTGCTCTTCTAATATATAGATAAGTTTGCTTTCATTATTAATGGAATATAAATTTTATGCAATAATATGAAAATTTGATTTTTGTTTTCAAAAATAACTCTTCTGATACGTATTTATAATTATATCATACTAAAATGATAAAAAAATTGTATTTGACCATAACAAATCATATATTGTGTTGATCTTGTAATACATTTATATAATATTATGAATACGATCATGTAAATATTTCATTACCTAAAACTAGTTATTACATGATATATACACATAAAATATTTAATTGAAGGTTTAAATATTGTTAAAGGATATGTAATTGGAATTTAAAGTATTCTTTGACGAAAACAAATATTTGCAATTGTCAAAACCTATAAAATAGAAAGAAATTATTATTATAGAAAATTTGATTATTCTAGGCCAGGATTCATATTTTTTGACAAAAATTTTCAATTTGTAGTTTTTATATTTTCATATCAAATTTTATAAAAATTACAGAATCATTTCTTAAAGTTTGAATGTTAATTAACAATGTATATATTGTTTAGTTTTTGATGATCATGGGTCCATAATTATTAAAATCTATAATAACTGCAATTATTTAATAATAATAAGTAATATTTATTAAAAATCAATTTATATTATAAAAAATAATATATAACTATAAAGAACAAAAGTTTCAATCAAATAAAAGTAAATTTGATAATAAATCTAAATCTCATGCTATAACAAATTTTGTTAGATTTGGACATTTAAGAAAAATAATATCTTGTTATTATCTTTAAATAATTTTAAAAATACATTTTTCATTGTAAATGCTTAGAAGCATAATAACAAATCATAATTAATGCAATTTATAAGATAATCAAATACTATTAAAAATCACCTCTAGCGGAGTTATCGAGTACTTATACAAGCGCTATTTTTGAAAATCAAATTAAAGTACATAACGTCATTATTATATTAAACATTTTATTAATTAACTTATTTAATATTTTTTCATCAAAAGATATCAATTAAATTATTTTTTATTTATTATTTATAACCAGACATATATTTATCTATAAACTCGTATGTAAAATAAATACATAAAAAGGTTGGAGTAATGTGTTTCAAACTGAAGGAGTAATTATAAAAAAAAAGTTAGCTGATAAATCAATCGTATAAGTAAAAAAAAAACTTGAAACTTATTTAAAAAATAAAAAAAATATAAGTTATGTAAATAAAATGAAATTGTTATGTGAATATTTCAAGATGAAAAGTTTCCAATCTAGATGCATTATGATTCGTGACAAAGTGTCGTGAAGACGCGCGGGGATGGAGTTATCTTGGATGATCGTGAAATTATACGAATATTATCGTATTATTTTTGTAACCTACGAGTGAATGTGATTAAATGTTTTGAGTTTGTTTTTACATTAAATATTATTGAAGTCATTGAACTTGTCAATTCGCAGTTTGTGTGGAAAAAGAGAGCTGAAATTAGTTTCAGTCAATGAGCGTACGTAAGTACTTAAAATGGTTACATACGTGCATGCATGTGTATGTTTACATACCATACATATACATTCATATACATATTTACATTTAGCATATGGGAGTGATACGATTGATAAACATAAACTTGTAAATATCATTTTAGATTGATAATCAAATCTGACATTAATTCAAAATAAATATTTTCGAATCGATATTATCGGTTATAAAAGAATAAAAAATAAAATCAATCGATCATGTCATCGTATTATTCGATATGCAATTTAAAATTAACAATTTCTTTTAATTTCCTTTCAATTTCATAACGTAATATTATTATCAAACTTTTTTATACAACCTATACTAAGAATTATCTTACATGTCATATTATCTGACAAATTCTCAAGATAAATATTACCTACCACCGGCGAACATATTTCTAACCTATTATTACCATACTCCTATAGAATTATCTAGAATAGCACGTAATTTAGAAAGTAGAGGAATAACGTTTCTATTTCTTATCGTTAGATTCTTTTTATACTCCATATAATTCTATGAAATTGAAAGTGAATTCAATTCCAAAGGAAAATTTTCATTTTGAAATAACGTTATAGGTAAAAAACAAATAATCGATTTTACGTTGCAAGATAAAGAAAATATGAATTTTTTTTTAATAGAAAAGAAAAAGGGACAAAACTTCGATTAATTCGATTGATTTTTAATGTATATATTGGTATCCCACTATGTTAGAGGAAGTAACATAAGAGAGGTGTATACATTTTCGTAACGTGAACCGAAACCGCGCGGAGTGGTGGTATTGGTGGTGGGGGTAACGAAAGAAGGAAGGAACGAACGAATGAGAGCGAATGGTCTGGGTTCGGGTGAGTTCGTGAGTAATGAGGAGGGGGCGAACGGTGACGAAGGGGGCTCGTGCGCCGGCAAGCAAATCGTGTGTCAGACTCGTGGCAGAGGGGTCAGCGCGAGGGAAAGACACGAACCGAACATTTTCTGGGCTTAGCGGGTACGTTACCACGTTTTTCGGCCATTCCTCTCTCTCTCTCTCGCACTCTATCTATCGTTCGTTGGTTATTTTTCTTTTCTTTTTTTTTTCTTTCTCGTATTATCTTTCTTTCTTTCTCGAAACCGTCGCGTGTCCGTTCCTTTTTGACGCGCCTCTCTTTCTATATTACAAACATACACTACTGACACGCGTACACATATACATACATACATACATACAAATACATTTGCTGTCCCTTTCTCTTTCTTTTCTCTCTCTCTCTTTCTCTTTTTCTCTTTTTTTTCTTTTCTTTTCCCCGATATCTCGGTCAGTTTCCGTTATTGTCGCGAAGAGAGTCATACAACCTGAGTGTGTGTGAGAGAGAGAGAGAGAGATACGTAAGGAACACCCACGTTTAGTAAGGTGGATAATTTCGGATGTATCATAGTTGTAACATTATTTTACGTACCTGAGGATACATATCGGGTGACACCTTTGGGATTTGCGTTTAAAGGAACGTGAGATATACACGGAAGAAGGATGAACGACATGGAGGCATACGGGGACGGATACATGGAGCCCGAGGAGGAGTGGGAGAGAGAAGGTCTCTTGGACCCGGCCTGGGAGAAACAACAGAAAAAGGTGAGAGATATATATCTATCTATCTACCTATATATTACTTATATATATATGTATCTGTATCTATGTTTATTTCTATTTAAAAGCCCCCTTTCTCTCCATATTAACCGTATGACAGAATTCGATATGTATGATTTCAAGGGACGGTAAATGTGTGTACGCCCGGGCTGCACTAGAAGCGCGCGAATTTGATTTAAATTTGAAACGAATAATATTACTACTTGTTCAATTGAACCTTTTTTTTTTTAATGAATTAAATAAAATTAATATTTTATTGAGAAGTTTTTAAATTACAGAAGTATATCATAAAGTTATTTTTTTCCACGTGGATATCAAACATTTGTTTATCATTGATACGAAATATTTAATTGTAGATATTATATAATATCTAAATTATCATTTTCTAATTCCTCTTTCAGTTATTTCCGTGTTTCTCTTTATTTTTTAATTTTTTATTTTAATTCTAATTTAATTTTCAATTGATTTTGATTTTGATTTATTTATTTATTTATTTTTTGTTTATAGGAATACTTATTTATTCGTCAAAGAATTAATGTCAATTCTAATATTAGAATTAGGAGACATATTCACAGATATATATGTATATGTTATATTTCACTAAGTTAGAGGGACATTAGTTTTAAACCGAGAGAAGAATTTGCTCTTGGTATTTTGTGTATTCGCATAAGATATTGGACGAGCGAGCGCTTGGGCCTTTTAATTGATGAAGTAGAACATCCTCGAGTACTCGTTGGAAACGTTTTCTTCATTTTTGGCAAGAGCTCAAGGCTCCCAGGCTTGTCTCCTTGCGTATATCGGCCAGAGCCCTTCGGATTGTATTTTCAGACTTTATGACGAAAATAATTAAGCAATGAGTCAGTCACAATTTTCGCATATAATTTATTCCATCTTTTACTTTGAAAATTGTACTAATTGATAGTGTTACATTTTCAAAATTCGCGGCTTTCAAATAAAAAAAAAAAAAAAAACAAAAAACAAAGTAGAAGAAGAAGAAGAAGATAAATCAAACCAAGTATATTACATTTTTCGATAGATCGATCGATATGAGATTAATGTTCGTAATAGAAAAAATATTAGTAATCATTGTATATAAAATGTTACAATTCTTTTTAACGTGATAAATGATAAAAATAAGAAAATGTAAGATTTATAATTATAGATAAATTAAGTGTCTTTATAAGCTGACATCTTGAACAAGTCATTGCTAGAGTATTTAATGGCGACATTGGATATCAGATAAGAGTCAAAGATATATATCTATTGGCTTCTATCCGATTACCAAGAAATTCCTTCTGTCTCTTCGTGAAATAGTCTCTGGATGCCGTTAAGGTGTCGGATATTTTTTCGCAACGGTTCTAATTTTAGGATATTCACGTGTCCTCTTCCGGAGGCTCACAATAACTTTCTCTATCTATCTATCTATCTATCTATCTATTTATCTATTTATCTGTCTATCTATCTGTTTTTTTACGAGTTCCAGATGATTAGATCTAAATAAAAAATTCACTTTGATTTTCGACATCTTTCTTTTTTTTTTTTATTTTTTTTTTCTTTTTCCCCCTGCATTCATTTTAGGTGACAACAAATATCATCCGTAAAATATTTCTACTTTTTATTTTTTACTTTCTTTTTTCAATAGAAAATTATTAGGAATATTAAAATTGTCTAACAAGTTGAAAGAAAAATTGCAATGCAAGCTTTGTACAATAAACCCCGAGAAGAGAGAGAGAGGCACGTGCAATCTCATCGAATTTTGAGTTGCACCGCGTGACGGAAGAAAGGTCACCGTGTTTTTTATTTTTTTTATTTTTTTTTTTTCTACTACATTAACGTATATATATATATAAACTTCGTGATCTATTGATCCCCCCTCTCTCAAGGATCTCAATATGAATAGATCAATCAAAATATTACACGTACAATAATTACGGTTACATTCGTTAATAAATATTTCATGGTTACCATAATTATTAAAATAAATATCCAATAATTATGTTCATTAATTTCCTTGATAGAAAGCAAAAAAGAAAAACCCCCATTTTTCATTGATCATTCACGAAATAAATGAATCTAATTCACTTTCAATTGATCTTTATATTATATATTTTTCTCGTTCATCAACGTGACATTGTTCGAATCTATTATGTCTGTTAAGTGGTTGATCTAAACGTGTCCATGTGTACGATATTGCTATCGTAAATGGTGAACGAAACTAGGTACTAGTTCATCGTGGTTGTCGTTGTCGTGTCGGCCGGTTAACTGTACAGAATTTCTTGTAAAACCTCATCGTTCTGCTGACTTTCGAGGTTGCGCATGAAACACATTCCATGGAACGGTGATAGAGGTATTTTTTTTTTCCTTCTTACCCCGTTCTTTTCCTCCGATACACTCCCCCCTCCTTCATATCCCCCGCAAACCCTCTAAGATGTATTATATGGGTCATATCAATCCTCCTCCTACTACTACTACTACTACTACTACTACATTCTTTTACGGAAATACATCTTTCACGATAATCTCTTCTCACGTATCCTTTTCGTAATTATCATCCATAGGAATCATAGTTTCCTATAATGAAAGAATTCGAAGAATTTTATATATATATATATATATACAATCGAAGAAATCTCACATGTGTGTGGTATAAAGTAAGAGAGGAAGAATTATACTTTGCTTTTAGTTTTTTTTTTTTCTTGACTCGGAACACATGCTTCAAATCACAAGTGTATACGTTTCTATATATATGTTTGTATGTATGTGGCATAACACATATAAAACATAATCTTTTTTTTTTTTTTGATTGTAATAACCCTCCAACAGTGATTACTAGTTCCAGATTTTATATATATATATTTTTTTTTATATCTTAATGTAATTGAGATTTAATATTTTTTTTTGGTTTAAAATAATTTTTTTTTTTATTAAATAAAATTTAATAGATATATATATATATATATATATAATATAGTAATATAATAATATATAATATATATAATGGATAAAAAATAATTTCACTAACATGTTTACAATTTTATTTTTTAATTATTTATATTTATAATTTTTTTTTTATATTATTCATATAATTTAATTTAATTAAAATTTATTATAATTTAATTTTTTTAATTTTAAATTTAATTTTTTATTAATTTGAATTAAAATAATTTATATATAATAGAAAATGTTTTTTTTTCGTTATGACGATTTCACACCCCACTTTTTATTTTTATTCTTTTTTTTTTTATTAGCGATAGAAACGATTGATATATATATATATATATATATATGTATTTTTTTTCTATTTCGGCACATATTTTATTAGATACTATTTATGATTTCTTGTTCCTTTCTTTTTCTTATTTTTTTCTTTCCAACATATCGCTTAGGTTTCTTTACGACACCGACCTTCTAGTTTTCAACGTACACACACACACACATATAAACACATATACGTGAGCATCATCAACTTGTATACATCTTCTTCTCTTGCCTCTTGTATTTTATTGCCAGTTCCAAAGGCCAACCGATGTATTTTCAGCGAAATAGGTCGCACTTTTGAGAATATAAATCACATTGATCGTATAATCATAAGAATTAATACGACGAGACGATTTTCTAAGCAAATTGACAAGAATTTTTCCTTTTTTTTTTTTTCTATTTTTTTTCTTTTCTTTTTCAATATTTGTTTCAATCAGTTTTCATCTTTCTGAGTTTGATTTATCGATCACAGTTGTGAACCGTACATCCTCACACACACACACACATTTTTTTTTATTATTATTATTTGTTAAATGTATACTTTACTTTTGCATATTGTACTTTCTATTTCTATTGTTCGATAATATATAATTCTTTTACTTTGGTAGATAAACAAGTAAAACGTTCTTGTTATCACAACAATTACACAGTTGCTTACGGTTTATTCGTAGAAAAATATAAAAAAATAACAGAAAATAAAAATGTCCGATGTGTTACCTTATCATATATAACGTTCTTGAGATAACATTGTTTATATATGTTCATATATTGTATGTACTATGCACTTGTCTACTGATATTCGATAGTTGAAGCTACTATTTTTTTTTTCTTTTCTATTCAACCTTTAATTCTTCTTTTTATCTATTTTCATATATTTTTTTTTTTTTTTGAACAATTATATTATTGTATTACATTTTAAAAGTTATGGAAAATATTTATATATTATAATATTTATATATATATTAAATATATGTGTGGGTTTGGTTGGAAATTTGTAACATTTTAAAAACATTTAACATTAAAATAATTTTCTTTTATTGGTTCAACTTATTTTTATTAAAAAAAAAAAAGAAGAAATAGAAGTTATTTTTTATGTCGAAGGTTATTAAAAGTTTTCGAGACTTACCCTTTGTATATTTATTTAAAAAAAATTCAAATTATTTTCTATTATATAATAATTATTTTTATATATTATCAACTCGTTACAAAAGTTTTATTATTTTTCTTGGCAATTTTACATAAATGTTATGTTTTTATTTTATATTTCGTTTTATTTTAACGTTGGGTGGGTTGAACAAAAAAAAACAAATATTGGATATAACGTAGAAAACAATTTATTTCTGTCAAACTTACTTTTATTTAAAAAAAAAAAACAACAACGTATCTTCGTACAGAATAAAAAAATTGAGAAACTTTTGAGATGATCTGATATTTATTTTTATGACAATTAATTTTTTAAAATAATTAACAAATTTCTAAGATGATCCTGAACTAATTTTACATTTCTTTCAATTTTTAATTTAATTAAATAATACAATTATTATTATTATTTTACTGTAACATACTTTGAAACTTTGAAAAAAAAAATATATATATTTAAATTACATAAATAATCCTAATATATACATATTATTAATATTAATATTATTATTATTATTATTATTATTATTATTATTATTATTATTATTATTATTATTATTATTATTATTATTATTACTTTATTGTAACATATTTTACAACTGAAAAAACAATATATTTAAATTACATAATTGACTAATATGTAATTGTGAAATTGTTTCGCTTACCGACAAAATTAGTTACGTACACTAAAATACAATAAACCATTTTATCTACTTCCCTTTTTCTATGTGCCGGTGACGTCTGATGTTAAAATCGTATAAATAGATTGTATAAATAGATAAGACACACGGCAAAGTTTAAGACGTCGATCATAGGAAGAAGAAGTCGGAGTTCCAAGCATCGACCTGATCTCAACGCCGGCGCCTTAAAATTTGTCGATATTTTACTACCAACCAACTCTTTTCTTTTTCTTTTTCTTCTTCCTCCTCATCTTCCTTCATACCTTACACACCTCACATTTTATTTTATTTTATTTTTTTTTTATTTCATTTTATTTCATTTTATTTCTAATTTCCTGTTGGCTGTAATAAATTCTTGGAATAGTCAAACACTCATCTAACAAAAATCCTAGACCAATGTCTTCATCTTCATCTTCCTCATCTTACAATTACAAAATGAATACAATTATTCTATTCATTTTTTTGTATTCTTTTTTTTTTATTTAATAATGGGTTTAATCTGTTAAAAAACAAAAATAAATAAATAAATCTTCATCTTCAACATTTTCAACATTTTTTTCATCTTCAACATTTTTAACAATTTTTTCATCTTCAATATTCTCAACATTCGTTTCATCTTCATTTAACATCTTTTTGAAAATTTTCATCAGATGATTCATAATCATTTAATATCTCATTGTAACACCTTGTAACACCTGTGTATGTGTCTATTTCTTTTCTAATATACTAATGCAAATGTTTCATAGTTATTAATCGTTCGATCGATTACGATCCGTGTCGAGAGACACGAAGAAGATCGTTAACCTTTGGAAAGTTTAGGACCGTAGCCAAATCTCAGTTTGGAATCGGGTGACCCACACATGTTGCTGATGTTACTGCTACTGCGTGTTGTACACCTTGACTAAGACGATTGTTATGCAGTGATAAAACTATTCGTATGAGTTATATATATATACATATATATATATATGTGTGTGTATATGTGTATACTGTTCTTTCTTTCTTTATTCTATTTTCTTTTTTTTTTTATTTGTTATTTTGAATATTGTAATGATGATGATGATGATGATATATTATAGATTGTTCGGTAACATCATTTGTGTAATATCTCATAGCAAATGAAATATTCATATGAAAATCTTATTCACGCCTACGATTAAAAACTATTTTCGAACGGTTCCTGGCTACTCCTAAAGGTTGAAATTACGTACGGCACTTCCGATGCCGACGCATAAAACGCCTCGAGGATATTTCTGAATGAATGTCTGTTATACCTCGTATATCGTAATGTTATATACTTTCTGTTAGCACTCAAAATAGGACAGTGACCGTGATGATGAATCACGTTAAAAATGAATTTCTCTTTCTCTTTCTCTTCCTCTTCCTCTCACTCATTCTCATTCTCATTCTCATTATTTTATAATTAGCATCTTCCAATCCAATAAAATCAGTCTTACTATACAAATGTCAATGATGAGTAGGTATTTGTCTTTATTTTATTTGATTTTTTTTTTTTTAAACCTAATTCATACATTTCCTACCTAACTTGACATTTATTTTTAACGTTAGTTTTACACTTTGATTTTTATTATTTTTTTTTTCTTGGTTTTTTTTTTTCTTGCAGGAAATATAATTCGTTTCGTTTAGATATACCACCATTTTCAGTATACCACACTAGTCAAAATGACTGGTGTATATAAACAAAAAATATGCTTTTTGAGACTTCCAGTCTTTATTTACTCTTAACAAATAACAAAAAAATGTTTAACAATAATAATTTTAATATATATATATAAATGGATTTATATAGACATTTTTAAATAACAAAACGCTTAATTATTTACAAAACTCAAATGTTACAACATGAAGTAGAAATTTGGAATTAAAATGGCCTTTCTCCCCTCGACCAATCAAAATAATTAGTCCTGATATATTTAGTGTTAAAGTTGTTTTAATAGGCTCGTGTCATGTATATACAGGTAATATTTCTTTAGTATAGTTTCATGTTTTAACTGCCAGTATCACCTGCTTTTTGCTAAGAACATCTGTCGTCGTAGTCGTCATCGTTGTTTGTTGTCCGATGAATAGGCCTCGGTTAATTTCAACTTAGTCTCTGAAGTTCAGAGAAAGTTTCAATATTTGTTTAAATAGTTTTTTTTATTTTTTATTTTTTAATAAAATTAAAAATTGAAATCAAACGTTTTGTAGATTAATCTTAATCTTGTATCTGTTGTATCTTAAAATAAAAAATATTTATAAAAAAATTGTAATATAATATTGAAATGAATTTTCCAAAAAAAAAAAAAAACAAATCAACGACAAGATGGCTGCCAATATTTTCAATCGAATATTTGCGAATGATGAAATCATTTCGAATTTGATTATATTTATTTATTTTTTTTTTCTTTACGTCATCGCAAAATAATATTATAAATAAAATATGAATATAAAATTTGGTTTGATATAAAAATTATCACTGCAATTATTTTTTCTTTTTTTTTTTTCTTCTTAATAAATCTTAATTCTTGACCTTGGAGTAGTCGGGGAATGTAAATTATGGCAAAAATAATAACTCATATTGTATGATAAGAAGGAACAATTAAATGTCGAAGAAAATGAGATGTATTGCCAGAATTTAATAATAGAAATGGATTAGAGTAATACGTGCCACCCACTCACACACATACACACAAACACACACAAACGTATGTATGCGCGCGAAATTTAGGATTTGGGTTATGCAAATCATTATGCGAATATCCACTTCGTTATGTTATTCGCTTAACGACTGGTATTTATTTTAAATTATCTCATTATTATTATCTTTTTACTTAAAATATATATATATGATGATAAATCGTGACCTTGGTTTATTCAAATATATTTTTAAAACATTTTAATATTTAACATTTTAGTTTAGTTTAATTTATTGTTAGTGAATTTGAAATATATATTATAAATTTAACAACAATTATATTTACAAAATAGTGTGAAATAATAATAAAATATGTATATATCGCATTGATGATAAGGACGAAAAGAATGTCCGTATTAATAGCTTCTTCATATATTTGCCGCATGTTGCAATTACTTCGTTTTACTATAGTGATTCATCCCTATCGATTGCTAATTCGGTCATATAAACAAAACTTTCTTGTGTATTGAAACATAATCTTTTTTTTTTTTTATTTTTTTTTCTTTACGTTTCTTTATCTCAAAAACATGCGAATAAATACGTGCACGACGAGTATGCATATGTATTTGATTTTTACGTAACGTTTGATAATCTAGAAGAAAATTATATCACGTTTACAAAAATAAAAATAACACAAAATTCACAATGATCAATTAAAACTGTCGTTTTAATATAATATATCGTATATGAATTAATTTATTTAAAAAATGAAAAAGAAAAAAAACGATGGATGTGCTATCTCGTTGAAACCAAGGTGGTATCATATTTAAGTTAATCCTAATTTTCTAGGAGTTTAAATGTTGCCATTTCGTTTTGGCACAATCATTTGAAAATCAGATCTTTCGACAGAGCAAAGAAACTGAGAACTAAGTAGTAATAGTAATAGTAATAGTAGTAGTAGTAGTAGTAATAGTAGTAGTAGTCGTACGAATGTTTTCGAAACTGCGTCTACAGTTGAGCGCGGGAGGAGTCGATGTTTTACAAATAGATCTTAGGCCGTGTGTGTGTAGAGAGAGAGGTTAGGGTGGCTCATGTCCAATTTTGGCTCCGTCGTGCTTCACGCTACCCGTATTAAGTTTCACGCAATATTTTTCCCTTCCAAAAAATCTTTTCGCAGCTATGTGTCTTTTTTTTCTTTTCCATTTTTCTTATTCTTACTATCATTATTTTGAATACTGTTAAATTGTAATGGCTGACATGGCGGCCATTTTTAAAAGTACTTTCATTTTTAAATCACTGCTTATTATTTCATCTCTTTTTAATCGCTGTCTTTGAAAAATATAAATATTTATGTGAAAAAGTAAATTAAATAATTGTATGCTCAAATTTACAAATTGTTTGTACTTTATATTTAATAATTTTATAATACGTAATAGGAATTGTTTTGTTTTATTTTTATATAAAGTACCACTAGGTACAAATCAACTACAGAGTTCAATATTTTCTAATTTTTTATTAGTGCATTATTTATAAAAATGTAAACTTTTGTAATACAAATTATAACATTTTCATTATAATTATTTAATATCAAATAATACAATTATAAAAATTATGATATACACACATATAAATTAAAAAGCAACAAGATTAAAGATAAATGTAATCTTGCTAAAGTTAATTGATTTATTTTGTAAAGAAAACACACTGTGTATAATATTCTTTGACATAAATGAACTATTTATACGAATCAAAAGTTTCTTTTTTTTATATACATAAGATAAATGTTCCTAGCCCTTTTTTATTTCAGGTACATAATAACAAAATCAATTTAAAAAAAAAAAAAGAAAAATAATAAAAAATAATTGTTAAAAGTATTAGGAAGCGCATTTTAAGAACCAGGACAGAAGATATATATAGCTGGAGAGATCGGGGTCGTTACTAAAATATATCTGATGTAATATAGTTGCCATTTCTTCATTTTAAATTCTATACAACATCTTCCTTATTTTTGATTACGGTTCTCAAAGAAAAAAAATTTGATCGATCTGTGTTATACTTTTAACATTTCAATTTTAGTCTTCATTTATTAATAGTATTCACACTATTCTGATCGTTAATAAATTAATCGTTTAAATCAAATGTGTGTAAGGTAATCAAATTGTATGATCTAATAAACGTTTATTATATAATACAAAGATTTATGTATAACATGTTTTTTTTTTTTTTTTCAAATTTCAGACATTCACAGCATGGTGTAATTCACATCTTCGTAAAGCAGGCACTGCCATTGAATCGATCGAAGACGACTTTCGAAATGGGTTGAAACTGATGTTGCTGTTAGAAGTTATTTCAGGAGAAACCCTTCCACGACCTGATAGAGGCAAAATGAGATTTCATAAGATTGCTAATGTGAATAAAGCCCTTGACTATATTGCAAGTAAAGGGGTCAAATTAGTCTCTATTGGAGCAGAAGGTACTTTTTTTTTAATCAATCAACTTTCCTCCATTTTGATTCTCTATAAAAATATCAAATAATATATGAATTTATTAACAGAGATTGTTGATGGTAATTTAAAAATGACATTGGGTATGATATGGACTATCATTCTGAGATTCGCTATCCAAGATATTTCCGTGGAGGAAATGACAGCAAAAGAAGGGTTGTTACTTTGGTGTCAACGTAAAACAGCACCGTATAAGAACGTTAATGTTCAAAACTTCCACTTATCCTTCAAAGATGGTCTTGCATTCTGTGCTCTCATTCATCGTCATCGTCCCGATCTGATCGATTACAATAAACTTAGCAAGGACAATCCTTTGGAGAATTTGAATACTGCCTTTGATGTTGCTGAGAAATATTTGGACATTCCTCGCATGTTGGATCCTGATGGTATGTATTATATTATATAAATAAATCTTTTTATAATATATCATTTTTTATATTAACATTTAAAGGAAATGTAATTATATTCAATATATGTTTCTTTTATAAATATAATTTCAAATTCTAGCAGATTAGGTACACAATTTAGGAAAGCACAGGAAGGCGCTAAATCTGACTAATTCTATTGAATTATATCAATTCTTAATATTATGTTCCCTTAATATCATATAGATTTGATCAACACTCCCAAGCCTGATGAGCGAGCAATCATGACCTACGTCTCCTGCTACTACCATGCCTTCCAAGGTGCTCAGCAGGTCAGCGCAAAGAAATGCGTGTTCTTTATCCTGTTACAAAAGTGACCTGTGCAATTATTTCACTAATACTATTAGAATTTGTGTGCTTATTTTTAACAGAATTTAATCATGCCTAATCGATGAAAATAACATATGAATCTTTTATTTCTTTTTTGTTTTTTTTTTTTTCTATTTAATTCTAAATATACTACCATCACAAAACACGAGAATCAATAGCCAAAATATATGTCCATAAATTGCAATGGAAATTTTTGTTTAAATCAACCGACCAACTGATTTCTTTAATATTTCTTATTATTCTTGCTATGTTGAATTTTTCAAATTTTAAAAAGGTGAAGTTAAACCTAAATGAATGAAACTATAAACATACATATACATATACATATATATGTATGTTTATCTTTAAATACTTCTTACAATTGTTGAGATACATGTATGAATCTTTATTTGGGTTTATTTAAGTTTAACAATGCATGGTTTGAGATTCTTTGACTGTGTTTTTTTAGATATGCGAAATACAGCAATGCCTGATGAGAGGGCTGTGATGACCTACGTTTCTTCTTATTACCACTGTTTTAGCGGTGCTCAAAAGGTGTGTTTTAAGAATTTCAACAAATTAATTTTTAACAGTTATGATCCTAATGCATGTATGCATAATAAATATATAAAACATTAACTTAATTAATCGATTGAAATGTCTTCTAATTTTGCATTTTTTTGCCACGTAACCAATTTTCTATCTATCTCATTTTTTTTCTTATTTTATATAATAATAATAATAATAATAATATTATTATATTATTTCTTATGTTTTATGAAACAAATGATAAAGTTTCTGTTATAGGCTGAAACAGCGGCGAATAGAATCTGTAAGGTTTTGAAAGTAAACCAAGAAAATGAAAGACTGATGGAAGAATATGAACGTTTGGCGTCCGATTTACTTGAATGGATTCGTCGTACGATGCCCTGGCTCGCTAGTCGTCAAACGGACAATTCTCTTGCTGGTTGTCAAAAGAAATTAGAAGAATATAGGACATATCGTCGTAAGCACAAACCTCCTCGTGTCGAGCAAAAAGCTAAACTTGAAACTAACTTTAATACTCTGCAAACTAAGCTGAGATTGAGCAATCGTCCCGCTTATATGCCAACCGAAGGAAAAATGGTATCAGATATTAACAAAGCTTGGAAAGGTATGATTAATATTTGTATAATATGTTTTGTATTTTTATTGTTTATATACTTAATGTTAATGAATAATTTGTAGGCTTAGAATTAGCAGAAAAATCATTTGAAGAATGGTTGTTATCCGAAATGATGCGTTTAGAACGATTAGAGCATTTGGCTCAAAAGTTTAAGCACAAAGCTGATGCTCACGAAGATTGGACAGCAGGTAAAGAAGAAATGCTAACGTCACAGCATTTCAGACAATGTAAGTTGAACGAGTTAAAGGCCTTAAAAAAGAAACACGAGGCCTTCGAATCGGATCTTGCAGCTCATCAAGATCGCGTCGAACAGATTGCTGCTATTGCTCAAGAATTGAAGTAATCATTTATACATATACATTTTATAAAAAAAAAAAAAACAACATTCACAATTCATTCTGTTATATTAATATGATATCATTATATTTACAGTACATTAGAATATCATGATAGCGCATCTGTAAATGCTAGATGTCAACGAATTTGTGATCAATGGGATCGTTTGGGTACATTAACTCAACGTAGACGTCAAGCACTTGACGAAGCGGAACGTATTTTAGAAAAGATCGATGTATTACATTTGGAATTTGCAAAACGAGCTGCAGTAAGTACACTTTTTTTAATATTAAAAAATGAAATTCGTAATTTAAACGAACAAAATCTAATTTCATTTTTATATTATAGCCGTTTAATAATTGGTTAGATGGAACCAGAGAAGATCTTGTTGATATGTTTATTGTACATACAATGGAAGAGATTCAAGGTTTGATGGATGCACATGCTGCGTTCAAAGCAACTCTAGGTGAAGCCGATAAAGAATACAATGCAATTGTGGGATTAGTACGAGAAGTTGAATCAATAGTTAAGCAGTTCCAGATTCCTGGTGGCCTTGAAAATCCGTATACTACTCTTACCGCTTTGGTAAGTAATTATAATTTTATTATATATAATTGAATGTAGAATGTTTCTGATATATAAATCAATATTTTCATTTTGATAGGATTTAACTAAAAAATGGAGTGACGTACGGCAACTAGTACCACAACGTGATGGTACATTACAAGCTGAACTTCGCAAGCAGCAAAGTATCCTTATATCTCTAAATTATATTTTTTATTTCAAATATATATATATATATATAAATTTTTAATTTATAATAAACGACCTATGCAAGTACTTAACAAATGTAAAAAGATAATGAATTGCTTCGACGACAATTTGCTGAAAAAGCAAATGCTGTTGGACCATGGATAGAACGACAATTGGATGCAGTTACTGCTATTGGTTTGGGACTACAGGTAAATATTAGAATAATATATTGAAAATATTGTTGAAATATTATATATTAATAATAATTATTTGTATAGGGTACATTGGAAGATCAATTGCATCGTTTGAAAGAATACGAACAAGCCGTTTATCAATACAAGGCACATCTCGAAGAATTAGAAAAGATTCATCAAGCTGTTCAAGAAGGCATGATCTTTGAAAATCGCTATACACAATATACCATGGAAACATTGAGAGTTGGTTGGGAACAATTACTAACATCAATCAATCGTAATATCAATGAAGTTGAGAATCAAATTCTTACGAGAGATTCTAAGGTAATTAATATAATAAAATTCATTATAAAATCACAAATATTTTGTATGTATAAACATATATATATATATATTATTTTGTTATACAGGGTATTACTCAAGAACAACTTAACGAATTCCGAAGCAGTTTCAATCACTTTGATAAAAACAGAACAGGTAGATTGGCTCCAGATGAGTTCAAATCTTGTCTGGTTTCTTTGGGATATTCTATTGGAAAAGATAGGCAGGGTGATATTGACTTCCAACGAATCTTGGCAATCGTTGATCCTAATAATTCAGGTTACGTGCACTTCGATGCATTCTTAGACTTTATGACACGCGAATCTACAGACACCGATACAGCAGAACAAGTGATCGATAGTTTCCGCATTCTTGCTGGTGATAAGGTAAAATTATTTCTAATACAATGCTTATTTTGATATTTTTATTATTTGTTTGTGTAAGTCGCATTCAACACACGTTTGTTATTTAAGTTTATTGATTTTTATATATACAAATTGTATTACATATTAATTTTATTTACAGCCATATATTCTACCTGATGAATTGAGGAGAGAATTACCACCTGATCAAGCCGAATATTGTATCCAACGAATGCCACCATACAAAGGTCCTAATGCAATTCCCGGAGCATTAGATTATCGCTCCTTCTCAACTGCATTGTATGGTGAATCAGACCTCTAATTTCATATTACAATGATATATTAATTATTTGGACAAACTACAAATTGTTTTGCATCATTGGAAAAGAAAAAAAAAAAAAGAAAAGAAAAGAAACATATGGGAAAAAAAAAAACAAATATTAAGTGAAATCAAAAAAGAAAAAGAAGAAAAGAAAAGAAAAAAAAATAATAATAATATCACATAATTAATATTACCTTTTTTGATATTTTGGTGTGTGTAAACTTCATAATTAAATCTATAAAAAAAAAAAAAAAAAAACAGAAAAAAATAGGAAGGAAAATTATGAAATTCACCCAATTTTCGAAAAAGGACAATAAATCTCAACGCAAGGATTGTTAGCTAGTATATGGAAATGCTATTTAAATAACCATGTACGTGTAAAAAAAAAAAAAAAAGAAAAAAAAAAAGAAAAAAAATGGAACTATCGTATACCAACTTGATGTTTATAAAAAATAATCGAGAAGAGATCAAAATAAAAGTTCTCTTTACACGTCATGAGTATTAGCATTAAGATTGGTGGTATCTTTTTAATGTAAAGCACATGTTGTTGTTTTTTTTTTTTTTTTTTTTTTTTTTTTTTTTTTTAAAAGAAGAAAAACACAAGAAATGATCAATTACACAGAGACATGAGACAATATTTATTTATTTCATAATAATCATCGGGCTAATGTTTACAACTAAGTATCTTTATAGAAATATTACACATATCTGTTGAGTGTTGTTAATAAGAAACGGCTTGTACTTAAATAAGAGACTATTCAAAGGGACAATAATATATATACATATATATATAGACATATTTCTCTGATTAATCCTTTACATTGAAAAGATAACACACTTTATTTAAAAAAAAAAAACAAAAAAAAAAGAAAAAAAAGAAAGAAAATAAAGAAACAACAAAAAAAAAAATATAAGCATTAAAATAACGACTCTTCTAGAACACTTGCCAAGACGCCTAATTACAACACCATATCATTTTAGGTATAATTCAATTTTTTCCCCCTTGGTGTCCGCAAATATATATATATATATATATATATATATTATTATAATGATTATGAAATAATTGCAAACGAGATATATTTTATTCTGACGCAAGCGTTCTAGAGGGAGATAATAAAACGAAGCTGTGCTTGACAAACGACTATTAATATTAAAAGAAGAAGAAGAAGAAGAAGAAGAAAAAAAGAAGAAGATTGAAATAATAAGAAAAAAAGAGAAGGAATTTTATATTACGAATAATTCATATCTCTTATTGCGAGAGCATAGATAAAAATATAATATATATATAGTTAAATATTACTCCAACTATTTAAACAAAAACAAAAAAAGAAATAAAATAGTCCAAATGTTTCACGTGTTGTTTGTGTATTTCTCATAGTAAAAGTAAAAAAAAAATTCGAATCTTATGTGGTATCGTTTAAATTCTATTTAATTTAATTTAACGAATATTTATACATAACAAATTGTATCATATCGAATTGTCTTTTATTTTTTATTTTTATTATTATTATTATTATTATTGCACGTCTTTAGTTGGAGTAATTTTTCCTATCCTTCCTATAAAAAGCTTTGAATCGATGCTCTCGCGATGGGCCAAATTCATTTAACGTTTAAGATCATCATCTAAAAAAAAAAAAAAAAAAAAAGATATAAAACGAATTTTTTTAAAAGAAAAGAAAGAGATGAAGAACATGTTGAATTAAATTATAATCGACTTTCTTACTTAAGGATCCAAAAAACTCGCTCGAAAATCGAATAATTCATATTTTTTTATAAAAAGCGACAACGAAACTATTAGCGAATAAAAAAAAAAAAAAAGAAGCAAAGAAAGAAAAGTAAAGAACTTACGCGCTGCATTATAATACTTTATAAATCGTATATTTATATACATATATATGTATACAAAAAGAAAAGAAAAAAAATATGAAAGAAAGAAAAGGATAAGAAAAAAAAGCCATGAGAATGAAAAGAAAAACAAAAAAGAAAAGAAAAGAAAAGAAAAGAAAAGAAACCTAAGTACGCGAAACGATGTTAAACGATATGCAAATTATTTATTTATTTGATTTAATTATTTATTAACGCTCTTCGATTATTAATTAATAACGCTAGAAAATATATACGAAAGAAGCACTCTTATTAATATTATTATTATTATTATTATTATTATTATTATTATTATTATTATTATTATTAATTATTTTAATTTTATTTTAATTTTATTTTTATTTTTATTTTTATTTTTATTTTTAATTTAATTTTTTTTTTCCGTCTTCTTCGTTAAAGTATTTATTTTTATAAATATCTATGAAGCGATGTGTATAATATATAGGATCTATTTACGTAAAAAAAGAAAATCTCTCTATCTCTCTCTCTCTTTGTCTCTTTGTCTCTCTGTCTGTCTGTCTGTCTCTCTCTCTCTCTCTTTCTCTCTCTCCAAGAAGAAAAGCAGCTGCCATTTTTCGTGTCATGTTGTTTTTAGATCATATTTTACACGCACACGCACACACACACTTCGCAGCCTTATCCATTATTATTATTATTATTATGATTATTATTATTATTATTACTACTACTACTACTACTACTACTATAATTATTATTAATATTAATATTATTATTATTATTATTATTATTATTATTATTATTATTATTATTAATTACTATTACTATTACTATTATTATTATTACTATTATTATTACTATTATTATAGTGAAAGCTCATACCGTCGTTCTTCAAATCATCATCCTATATGTACAAGCTCATTGTGTGAAATGCATTAATACTTACCGAGAAACCGTATACTGCAAGTTTTCTTTTATTTTTGCTTGAGACTTCTTTAATGCTTTCTCAATATTTTTGTCTTAATGTGTTTTGAGAGTTTCATTATATAAGTTTATTATTTTTAAAATCTTAAAAGCTTATCGAGAGAGACGAATGTTTTAAAAAAAAAAAAAACAAAACAATATTTTAAAAAACACAGTATACTACGCGATTACAAACACAATACGCATTTTCACATGAACACGTAAGTACATTCGAATATACGTAATATCGAAAAAGGATAAAAGAAAAAAAAATAACATGTTATTTCGGCGTAAATATATAATATATTATATGTATGTATGTATGTATATATAAATACACACATAATACGTGTATATGTAAACTTTTAATTGCATTATGTGAATTAAGAGTGTACATAATTTCAAATGGAAATGAATTGTTCTTTCTATTTGTTTTTTGTTTTTTTTTTTTTTAAATAATATAGCGTCATACCACACACACACACATACACACCTAAACAATTTTTATTTAAACTCCGTATATATATATATTATATATTTTATTGTATTTAAAATATTATTTTAATTTAATTTAATCTTCACACAAAAACGCATACATACACAAGCATACGAAAAAAATCGTCTCGCGTGTCGCATTATTACATTTAATATATTTTTTTGTTTTGCCGATTTCATCCTTTGAATTAATAATTCAAATTGATTTAATAATGAGTCATATGACAAAAAAAAAAGTATATATATATATATATAAGTAAAATACAAAATAATAATTATATATATGGGGGGGGGGATAAGAAAAATAAAGAAAATCTTGAAAAAAAAAAACATCAAAGATTTTGCGCATTTTGTTGTGTATGCATATATTATATTTGATAGTTTTAATTTTACGTTATTGTGTTATGCAGGATGATAAATAATATATATATATAATGTATATATTTATTTATTTATTTTTTTTTATTATTACGATATTATATAATACATATCTAATACATAATTATTCACGGACGCAATTACTTAATTGTCTGCTTCGAGTATTACAAAGGTTCAGTTGTGCATATTTATTCATTAATTATTATGAATTTATTTATTTATTCATTTTCTTTTCTTTCTATACAGAAATAATAGACCTAATTGGCTAACGATTGCACAATGCTACGTACACATATAAGTTATTATTTAATCGTTACACACGACCACCTTATACGAGAGAAATCTTTTAATATCCCACGCTATTTACACTAAAATATTAATAATATTTACAAAAGAGCGAGAGATTCTATTAATTGTAATATCACCATTCTTCGTCGTCCACTTATGTAATTATGGCTACGTAGGATATAACGCACGTTATATTATAACTATTAAAAAAAAAAAAAAAACGATTCGTGTTAAACGATTTTGAGAAAAAAAAAAAAGAAGAGAAAAGAAAAATCAATGAATTTCGATCGTTTAAAAATTACCGCCATTTTACTAAAAGAGCGCTGACGTCGTATCAATTAAATGTTTGAATCATTTGAAAATACCCGCTCTTATTTTCTACAATTAAATCCAGCGACTGGATCGAATTATAAGTATAAATTGTCATGATACGCATATTTTGTTCAAGTAATAATTACTCAAACAATTCGTGTTGGTTAAACGATATTATCGTGTTTTTTAAAATAATCTTCGTCTAGTTTGAAAATTAGCGCGCCTACTCTAGAGGGCGCTAATGTACCATCCTGAAGTTGATACCGTTCAGTCAGTGAGTGTTGTTCGTTCGTTTGAAAATAGTCGCGGGGTTTTTTTATTCCTTGCAACCAAGTCCTGCTGACCAATTGCAAATACCACCGACAGGATCGAAGGATAATTTGTCAGGACACGTGTATTCCGCACCGATGATCAACCCGTTGACCATTTTAGCACAGGTAATAAATTTTTTACAAGATACAGGATGAGGAAAGTTTCCTTGATCGAGACACCGTATAGTACCAGTATTTGTGAGAAATAATTTTCCATTGTACATTGCTTTTTCAACTATAGGTGTATCCTCATCTTCGTAATAATCATAATCAATAATTTGTGGCCTTCTTGGTCTAATTGTCGAACTTCTCGTTGTTCCTTCCTTCCTCCTATTTATCGTAGTTGTCATCGTCGTTGTCGTCGTCGTCGTCGTCGATGTTTTTTGTCGTGTCTTTGGTACTGTGCTGAATCTCAAGGACGTCGAACTACTTCTTGGAAAATTTGTTCGCGGTGCTACCGTTGTGCTTATCCTGCGTCTTAAGGTATCCCTTAACGGCACTCGACCTGATCGTGCAACCTTATTTATTAATCCGAATTTCTTTTTTTTTTTAATAAATGCAAAAAGACCAAGCGTTTTTTTTTGTCCGTAGATGATGATGATGATGATGATGATGAGAATGATGAGAAAAAGATTAACGATGTAAGAGCATAGAAGACATCATTCAATTTGTTGCAGTTCCATTTAGATTAGTGCCCATTACGTATTCCAAATAATAAGGGATGAAGAAGACACAAATAGTAATAAATTCATGTCATTAAAAGATGATGGCGAATTAAGATGCAGTTTTGGAAAATTAATTCATTGGTTTGCGTTAACCAATTTCAATTTATGATGTTAATTAAAAACAAACATTGATTGAACATCTTACGTTTTAGTATCGTAAAATATCCCGAAGAGGTAGGATCGATTGCAGAGAGATAATAAAGAAGAAATGGCAGAGAGATAAAGATGATAATTAATTAAAAAAAAAAAAGGACATGTAACACCCATGATAAATATTAGACACACATAGAAAAAAACATGTTTTTAAGTCTCATCTAAAAAGAAGAAGAAGAAGAAAATGCAACGTTGATTCGTACGAACAAATCTAAAACAATTTTATCTTCGATGAAGATAATCGAATCCTTTTGAAGTAACGATCAAAGGATTCTAAATCTTAGTATGTTGTTAAAAGATACACAGACGATAAGAAATTATTTGAGGAGGAGAAGAATATAAAGCGAATGTAAATTACGTATAACATAAAGAAAAATTCCGTATGCCACGTTAGAAAGAGATAAATAAGAAAATAGCGTTATACCAGATGATCCTTGAAAGAAAAGTATTAAAAAAAAATGAAAAGTAGAAGAAGTTAAAAAAAAAAAAATATTAAACAGATAAAAGCAGCCAAGGTGCCTGGAACCCCATTTTTTTATATTAAATAAATTAAGAATTGAGGACGTGAAGTTTCAGATAATTGTAGAGTACCGGTGTTGGATGAAGACTGCAAAGTAGGCGGATCAGCCAGTGTAACTGCGAGCTCTTGTGCTCGGCCATTTTGATCACTTATCTCAGCCCTTTCATCTTCAACGAATTGTTCCGGCTTCACTGTTGCATCATCATCATTGAATAAGTCTGAAACAATGATCCCTGAATGTGATCGTTACGTTGAATTTCAATTGTTTATTTTGTTTTTAACCATAAAAAAAATCCGATCACTTTTATGAAACCTAATCAGATTCTATTTGTTAGAAGTTTGTATTTTTCTAACGCACCGACTATCGTTGTTGTCGGTGAAGAAAGGGTTGTCTCGCTAGGTCGACCCTTTCGATTATCCCCTAGTAGTACCGTAGGACGTTTGTTCGTTGATAAAATACTCGACAGCGAAGAGGATGGATTTGGTTTTCTTATTCTGTTGGCCAGAAGAATACTTCCTGGCGTCCTGTTAGAAGACGATCCCGAGTTCTTCGAAACAGTACCCTGTTCAACGTTCAATTCATTTTATAGATTATATATTTAACAATTAATAATAATACACGAATATTATTTACTTTTATACATGTGTGTGTGTGTTTGTGTGTGTGGATTTATATACATAAAACATTGAACATATCTCTACGTGTATCGTACTTTTGTTTTTTTTTAATGGTATAAAAATAAGCCATACGATGACCGAAAGAATGAGATGGGATAGACAGATAGATTACAGATAGATAGATAAATAGACAGAGAATTAGAATTTCCAAATAGAACATATGTTTCAAAGCAACGAGAAGGATCTTTCATGTTGTACGCTTCATTCGCATAAATTGTGTTAACAAGACAATGAATGAATTAATATCTTCACGTGCTTTTATCGCGGACCACACAAAGCATTACAATTATAAACAAGACACATCAAATAGGATATAATATAATCGGATAGATAAGCGTATAGTAGGAGGCCAATAAAGGTGCGTCAAACGTGCAACGCACCATTTTGAAAAAAAAAAGAATATAGAAACAGAGAAAACTTTGTTGTGTGTTAATTGATGCTAGGAGAACCAGAACAAATGAACCAGAACAGCCGAAGATAAAAGGACCAATGTTGCTGTCAAGTTATCTCATCTTTATTCATTTTGTCCTTATCCCTTTTCTCAAAACTGTTCATCTCACAATCAGTTGAGTTTGAATCTGCAATGTTGAAATGAGATTGTTCCCCTTTTTTTTTTATTTTGATCTGTGGAGGTTGATTTTGTTGGTGTTTGTTTGTTTGATTTAGTTAAGGCGCATGAGCAGAAGAGGCAGCGATAAAACAAGGATTTTGTGATCACCCTTTTCCTTGGATCACCTAAGATTTTGACTACTTTAGCGTTATTTTAGCACACAGCTCGAGGCGAAGTATGTATGTTCAAACATGTTGATTTACTATGCAAAGATGATGATAATTATAGCTTCCCAAACAAAGTTTCAAATCAATTTGGATTGATTTTTTTTTTTTTTCATTTGCTTTCTAAATTGACACTGACCTCGTCCACGGGTCTTTCAGTATAATCCGTGACCAGAGGAGAATCCCGAAGGGTATTTGTTTTTTCCAATGGGACACTCTCCTCGTCCTCCTCATCCTCTTCTTCTTCTTCTTCTTCTTCCTTGTGTTGTTTACGGTTGATTTTTAGCCTCTTGATAACCAATTTTGATCTTCGAGTTTTATTATCAATCACTTTGGATCCAACATCATTGACGGTAACTGAATTACTTGCTACTGTAGTGAAAGAATTGTCGTTAATTGGTTTACGTTGTCTTTTACGGTATACTACTATACGTTTAGGATTGTTTGATTCAACTTTAGTCGTATGTTCATCTTCAATCACTCGACGATTTAAATTAGGTCTTCTTCTTTGACCAAATTGATTATTAAGAACAATTATTCTTTGTCTTTGTCGTCTACGATGAATATTGTTTTTTTGATTACTCAAAGTAGTTTGAGGAATTTGCGAAGATAATAAAATTGAGGAAGGAACTGTTGTTGTACTCGTGGTAAAGATTTTTCTTTGTTGAAAATTTCGATCAGATTTAGAAACAATTTTATCATCGACATCTGTTAATTTTTCTTGGATTGTTGTACCTATGTCAAATTCATCTAAAATACCATTTTTACTTTGTCCAATCATCGTTGTTGTTTCCATATTATCCCACCTTGTAGATTCTATTTCTTTTCTTGCTGTAATCGTTTCAAAGGTTGCTACAGTATTTGGTGTTGTAATTTGTGTTTCTGAAGTATCATCAGATATTACAATATTTTGATCAGAAACAACAGCGTTGATTTTACTTTGATCATTCGTTAATTTTGTTGATGAAACATTATCGAGTTCATTTTCTTCTTGATTATTGTCAATTGCAATTTCAGGTGTATTTAAAGTATTTAACACTGGAGTAATTGTCTCTGGAATTGTTATATCAAATTTAGTATTACCAGATTCAGTTGATACAGTGTAATCTGTTGGTATTGTTTTAGTTTCTGAATTTGTATTCAATTCAGTAGTTGTATCTGCTATTAAATTTGTATGAGATCTATACAATGGAGTTGTAACATCACTATACCCAATTGTTCTTCTTCCTGACGTAGATAAATCATTTTTAACAATAAACAAATTCCCATCATTTTGTGTTACATCCTGGCTAATATTTGTTGTCATTATTAATGGTGTTGTTTGTTCCAATTTAGTAAAAACACTTGAATACTCTGAATATTGTTTATCCGAATCATCAAATGTTGTTCTACTTGTAATTGAATTATCTTCAGATAAATCATCAGTCATTAAAATATTATCTTGTTCATTTATCATCTTCGATAGAATCGTTTCATTATTTGTTATTACAGGATCAGTTTTTTCCATTAACATTTGTGTCGTTGGATTAATCATGGTGGTAATTTCGATATCCCCTTTAGTCACATAAAAGCCTCGAGTTATTGTTTTGGGTGTTGTAATTATGATTGGTGTACCCCTCATAGTTGTCGGTTTTAATGAAGATGCAGCATGATCGATTCTAGTTTTTCTTTTTCTTTCTATTGAAGATTTATCATCAATGTCATTGCCCTGTTCGTCATTTTCCTTAAAAATGTCAGTAAGTTCATGATTGAAGGAATTCTTCTGAACATTGTCAATCGATTCGTACAAATTTGTCTTGATCGTTTTAACGTTTGATTTAATTTGATCATTTTCTACATTCTGCAGATCATGTTGCACATTTTGATCAAGTGTAAGAAGTAAATTTAATAATATCGAAGAAGGTGTTGTCGTATAATCGTATGTTTGATAACCAATGAGTTCCTTTAAGGTTGGTAGCCTTGGCGTATCCGAGTTGGCAACCTGAAAAATCAGAAGGCAGCGTGAACCTTTTAATTGAATTTTTGATCCTTGCCAAGGTCACCTTTTTCTCTTTCTCTTTCTCCTTCCTTCTCTCTCTTTTTTTTTTAGAGTCCTTCGGTTATTTCTTTTTTTTTATGTTAATTTATTAAATTAATTGTTTGTTGTATCAGTCGGGAAGGAAAAGAGAAAGAATACAAAGAAAGGAATGGTCATTGATTTTTTTGTTTTCATGAGGATGTTTCATTTGCTTCAGGATAAATGCACATGACGATGAATCCTGGGAATCCGTCTAATGTTCCCCGATTTTATTGAATAAAATATTTAGATGAATTTTTTATTCAATCGTTCTAATCAATTCTAGGGAATCCGTCTAATGTTCCCTAATTGCATTGTTATGGGAGATGAATTTTTCAAATGAAAATGTTTCTCTCAGATTACTGTTTTGTTTTTCATTTTCTCTTACGTATAATTATCATGATTAATGTTGATAATGTATTTAGTTAAAATAATAGTCGCTTGGATTATGATATAATGTAAATATAATTAAATACTGTAATATTTCAGTCTGCATTAACTTTTACGAAGAACGAATGATAAATTGAAAATTAGTTAAATGTATTTATTAATTGATTATTTTTTATTATTTAATTTATATCGAATCGTGTCTTCGTTAATGGATTATTAATAATAACAACAATAAATCCAATTAATGTTCCTTAACTCCAGCAATGAGATTGCTGAAGACTGATTCGATCGGGATAGTTGATGATTCGTGTGATTCCGTTGTAAATCGTCCATTTGCACGATAAACAAATTCACTTTCTATCGGAAGAGTCGATGCTTCAACTGCAGGACGAATTTCATTGATGGAATCATCAATTGTTGTAATCGTTTGATCATTCGTTGACTCAGTCATCAACATTTTTAACGATTGCGTCGTTGAAGGATAATCAAGGTTTTTGTTGATCACATTTTGAACGGGTATTCTCGTAGTTGCTGTTAAAGATGAATATTTAGTTTTGATTAATATTTTTTGTCTTTCTGTAGTCCCAGATTCAGCAATGGAAGTTACCAATCTGGTAACCAATGGTTTGTTTGATGGCGTTGTTGTTCGTTCAGAATCAACGAAATTTTGTAATTCAGAATTATCATCAGTTTTATATTTCGTTGTATATTCTTCATCTTCATCAGCCCGTTGTGGAGTTGTTGTCCTTAAAGATTGTTGTTTCCTATGAAAAGCATCAGCAGCGTAATCAAATTTCTTAGCAGGTATGAGCGTTTCCGTAACTGGAACTTCAACCGGTGTTATTGGACGTTTCGTTTGATAACGGGATCTCAAACTTGACGTTGAATATTCAAAATAGGAAGGTGTTGTTTCCGTTTCTTTATTAATTCTATCCTTCTGAAGTTTTTCTTCGTAATTTCGATAACGTGCTCTTGCTTGACGATAACCACTGAATTTCAACTTTGCTGCAGTTTCCTTGGTTTCCGGATTTTCTTCCGTTTCTTCCGGTGAAGAATCATCTATGGGATACCATCGTTTACTTGACGATACTCTTTCCGTAGTTGATGTCTTTTCTTCTTGAACGTTGTCCAAATTTTTAATGGAACTTGGAACTTTGTATGCTCTTCGTGATTCTGGTTTACGATTGATCGTCACGTATCGAAATTTATTCACATTACCAGCTATCTTACTATCATCCTTTTCAGATTCCTCAGGTTCTTTTGGACCTGTTGTTGGATATATTGTTGTAATTGATGGTTCGGTTGTTAAATACGTGTTTTTAATTTGATCAGAAGGTGGTGATGATCTTTGATTGGCTAATCTTTCAGCAGGTATCGTATAATGTTTCCAAAATTCTAAAGATTCGTTCTCAATCGATGCACTGCTTATGATATCCTTCGTAGTAGTATCATCAACATCATCATCCTCTTGTTCCTCTTCATCTTCCGTTTCATTATTATCATCATTGTTAATTTCCAAACCTTCTGTAGTTCTCGTAGTCGATGAAACAGGTCGACGACGAATGAACAAACTCTTCCTACGTTTAGAAAGTTGATTAACGTCAATCTCGTTTTTCTCAGTTGTTGATAACTCACGATTGTGTGGTCTTGAAATTAAAGCATATCTGCTGTTCGGTGTTTCAGGTAACAATATTGGACGTTTGCGAACAAATTTTTTTCTCACATATCTTGTTTCAGAAGAAGATGATTTGCTATAAACTTGAGACTCATCCAAATTTCGTGAGATGACTGGTGTAGTCGTTTGAATAGTTGCTGTTACATTTTCTGTAGCTAAACGAGTTTCTTCTGGATCGTATGTATTATCTACATAAGTGCTTGGTGGTGTTACAGTTGCTTCTGTTGTAATTACAGTTGAATATGGATCTTCATTTTCAGGAATCGTTGATTCTGCAGTTGACGTTGAAGTTTCAGTAATCGTTTCATCCATTATTGTTGCTTGAGTTATCGTTGGATTGGAAATAAAATTATCATCTTTTGTACTTTCTGTTGTCATAGTTGAAGTTTCTAAATTATTATCCGATGATCGATCGGTCAAAGTATAATCAATCGTGTTTGGAAACTCGGTAGCAAATGTGGAAAGACTTTCAGTTACGTTATCAGATTCTTCTATTTCTTCTGACTGTAATTCTGTAGAAATTTGATCAGTCATATTATTCGATTGGAAAATGGTCATTTCTGAAGATACTTCTGAACGGGATGAACTGAATTCATCTTCTTGAGAAGATGAAGTTTCAAAAGATGCTGTGGAAGATTTGCCATTTAATAATCTTATGCGTTTCAATACTTTTCGTCTACGATTAATTTGATGTTTCGTGTTTTCTTCAATTTGTATAGCTGTAGTTGAAGTATTATTGTTACTGTCAATCGTTACAGGTCTTCTCCTAAGAATAACTTTTTTTCTTCTTTGATTGTTAAGCTTTCTTTCTGACGAATCGATCGTATCCAAATTCGTTTCGTTTATATTTGTTTCCATGTTTTTGTAACTCGTTGGAGAAATCGATTGAATAAGAATATTTGGTGTGGTATACATCACTTCCGGATTTAAACTGGTCTCGTAAGAGACGTTACTATCTGTAGAGATAGTATTACTTTCAGTTGTGGATTCTGTAATGTAATAAGTTGACGCAATCGTATCAAATTCTGGTCCTGGTTGAACGCTCGTGTTACTTTCTTCGATTTCCGTAATACTTGGCGTTGATGACACATCGAAATCATCAGTTACGGTATTGGTTGTATCATTGTCAGTAATTTGAACGGTACTCAATGAACTATCAGTTGTACTTTGTTCAATATCTTTAATAGTTGTCGTCATAATTGGTGTTGTAGTCGTAGTCGTTGTTGTTGTTGTTGTTGTTGTTGCTGCTGCTGTCGTTGTTGTTGTGACGTTGACAGGAACCGATATTTTTTCATTATTTTCCGTTGATGCGTTAATCTTTTGAGTTACTTGTTCAGTATCCACGTAATTCCTCTTATTAGGATTCCTCGTTCTACCGTATAATTCTTTATTAATGCTAGGTGGTGATTGTTTGAAAACTCTAATGTTAGTTATTTTCTCATTGTCATCCTTATCCAAATTGACATCGGATTTAGAACGAAACTTTTTACTTCTGCTATTATATCCTTGAGTAATCCTAACGATTGGACTGTCTTCGAGTTCGTTAGATTTGGTTATTTCCGTAGTTGTTGATTGTACGGAAGGACGACGATATCTTCTTCTTGGATTACTATTTTCAATGATTGTTTTAATTGTAGTAGTACTTGGGGATTCTGTCGTACGACTTCGTCTACGGGATATGGTATTTTTCGATATGTCTTCGTTAATAGGACTATTCGTCGATGAATTATATCTATTAATTCCTTTACGTTTGTTATTAGACCTTGATCTATTCGTACTAGTTATTTCTCTCGTTTTGTTGAACGTTTCTTCGTTAGTTGGTGGATTTTCTAATTGTTCTTGTTCATTAATCCGTTTATTGTCGGTAATACGAGTTGTTGAGAAATCCTGTCTTGTTCTTAATCGACCTCTTCCTATCAGAAACGAGCTCGATCGGGTCGAATTTCGCGACGTCGTTATACTCACCTTAGATCTAGAATGATCGTTCGATGACGGCGCTAGTGTCGACGTTAATGGCGGCACTAATGGCGGCGCTAATGGCGTCGTTGTTACGTCAGCAGTCACACTACCCAATCTTCTCCTAGTAAATCCGAATGGTCGTGGTTGCGATACCGTTGCTATTATCCTGGTTGTTGACAATAATGATGGTGTACCTGGACTTGGACTCGCTGGTGCTGTAGTCAAAAGGATTTCCGTAGCTGATTCTTCGACGAGTTTAACAGGTGAATCGGTCGTTGTTGTTGAAGGTATCAAATTATTGTTGTTATTGAGATTGTATGCTATCGATGTTTCTTCGACAGGATTTATCTTGATGCTTGTAGCTTCGTTACTCGTACTTGTACTCGTTGATAATGATGATGATGAAGATAATGATGAAGATGATGATGATGATGATGATGAATAAATGGATGTCACTGATACTGAGGGTAAAGTGGACTCTGTCGTAGTTGATGCTTCTGTTGTTGTTGTTGATGTTATCGTTGAAAGTATCTTAGGTGTTGTAGAAGTAGTAGTAACATCTTCAATTTTATCAATTTTATTTTTAACAATTGATCCCTCTGTCGTTATCTCATCGATCCTAGAATTATCATTGGTATCAGCCAAATTTTTTTGAGTTGTACTTCGGAAACGTTGTATGTTGATATATCTGTAACACATTTATAAACACATTTACAAGATTTCTTACTTTAGGAATAATAATTTAACGTTATTATTGAAACGATTGTTTATTAGAAACCTAGATTTGGTAGTTGCCGTGTTAATTTCATGATGATCAGTTTGTCGCGTAGTTCCTTCCAAATCCAATTGTTCCGATGATTCCTCACCATTCTTATTACCTTCCGTATTCCTAAAGTTTTTACTTCAATCAGATTATCTTGAAATATTCCAATTAATCGACTATGATTTATATAATATAGTATTTTACAATTATTACCTGTATCTCGTACGGGTGCGGAATGGTTTTGAATTAGGTTCAGATTCCTTATCTTGATTTCTAAAAGAAAGAAATATTTACAACAACAAAAAATGAAATAAAAAATATAGAAACAATTAAGGATAATTTTATGAGCCATGAAAATATTTTCATATTGATTTGTTTGTTTACTTGGTAGACCCGTTAGGACGTCGTCGACGAATCGGAATTTCCTCTTCCGCGTCATCAGCTTTCTCTTCTACGTCATTTTCATTTCTAAAATATTTATATAATATTATTATTATTGTTATTAATTTGTTATTAGCATTATTTCGTTAGACCTACTTGGACGTAGTTGTAGAAAACCTATTGCGTCGAATATTAACATAATTTGGTGTTACACGTTGAGTCGAGGTACTAATTTCTGATGGATTGCTGATAGTTTCATCTTCAGATGAAGCCACATTTGTGTTGTAATCTTCCAATTCGTCATCATCCTCTTCTTCCACATCATCATCATCATCATCATTATCATCATCATCATTATCATCCAATTGTGGTGCATTAGTTGATGCCCTAAACAAATCAACTTTATTTATATTTTTGTTCCACACAAATTTCAACTTTAAAATAAAACATTGAATTACTTTGGTCTTTCAATTGTAACATATTGCGGTTTTTGTGCTCTCCTAAGACTCTTCACTTCAGGAATTTCATCCAAACCTTCGAATTGTGCTCTACCAGGACCATTTTGGTAATCAAGTTTAGCAGAATAACCAGAAACTAATTTGCTAGCTTGTCGATTCAAAACACGTTCGTATAAAGTTCGACTGATCGTTGCTGGGGTTACAGGATCGTTATTGGACGAGGTACCTGTACTCTTTTGTTGAAGGTGTAATTGTTTTTCTAATTCTTCGATACCACCTATTATAAAAAAAAAAAAAATTATTTCATTAAATTATTGATAATTAATTATAATATATTTGTGCAATGGTATAAAATATTACCTGCTTTTCTAATTAAATTAATCAATTCTTTGATAACTTTAGGATCTTCTTCTTCCTCAGCAAGATCACCATTTTTCAAATCTTCTTCTTTTTCAGGTTTTGATGTTGTACTTGTGGTTGTACTTGTTGTACTTGGTTTATTTCTAGTTATGGTTTTATATTGAAGTGGTTTCATGGTTGATGTAATTTTAGGTTTGAATTTTTCTTCTTCTTCTTCTTCCTCCACTTCGTCTTCTTCTTCATTTGAGTTTTTAACTTCTTCTTCTTCTTCTTCTTCATCGTCATAATACTCTTCATCTTCATCATCTTCTTCGGAATCAGATTTACTTGTAGTTGTACGTTGCGTTGTACTGTGCAAATATGTTGTACGACTTGTTGCTGCAGTTATTGGTGCTCTAGTTGTCGTTTCACTTGTTTTTGATTTAGGACAAACCACGTTACGTGGATAATCGCAAGAATCAGCAGCTTTGTTAAATACCAAACCTATATATTCCAACAAAATCATTGAAAATAATATCAATTGAAAAGAAACATTTGAAATTGAAGATTTATTTTACCTGCAGGACAAGTAAATGGATAAACAACCAATCCCAAACCAGCACCACCACTGTCCAAACACCAGAAATATTTTTTACATTCTCGTGGATGTGGATAAAATCCTTCATCTTCACATTTAAAATCTAAAAAAAAAAAAAAACACACACCAATGAACAATTTCAATAAATTGTAATAAAAATGAATGAAGAAATTTTGTATGATTTAACCAACCAGTTCCAGGATCAGGTGTAGTTGGTGGTTCAGGTGTTGTCAATTTGTTACTCAAAGATTCAGTAGTTGAACGTTTATCATTGTCATTGTCCTCATTTCTTGCTGGTTTTCTACGTCGACCAGTTGATGATCGATTTCTCGTTTTATTTCTATTTCGTGGTCTTTTTTTCTTATCAGTACTTCTGACAACATTACCATTATCATTTTGATTTTCAATGGAAGACGTAAGATCGTAAGATCGTCTTTCAAGTTCTCGATCATCTTCATCTTCATCTTCTTCCTCTTCTTCATTGGTTGATTTAGTTCGTGAAATTGTACGATATTTAGGTTTAGATGTTGTTACCTGTTTTCTTGTGACAGGTGCTGATGTTGTTGTAGTTCTTCTGATATTAGAATTAGTTTTTCTTCGTGAAGAACTGGATGTACTTTGACCTCGTAATTTTTTACGAGAGTCTGATGATTTTGGTTTTTGTGCAACATTACTTCTATTAAATGATGAAAAATATTGTTAAATGTTATTATTATTGTTAATTGTGTGTATTGATTAAAAACAAAACAAAAATTGAAACTTACGTGTCTTCTATTAGAAGAGTTTCTTTACCAGCTTCTATCAAAGGATATGGGCGATCATGACACTTTCCACGGAAATCATCGTTGTCAATTGACCAGAACATCATACCACCTAGATTTCTCTCGTTTATAAAACGAGCTTTCAATCGAACGATATTAACATCGTCGTAACCAACCCATTGATTACCCTTGAAAGCATATGGTCCCATTGCTTTAGGATTAGGGTGCATTACTTCCCAATCATCCGAATTTGTTATACTTTCACAAATCTATAGTCAAAGTATATATAATATTATTTTTTATTATATTATATATATTTGTAATATTATTATTTATTACGAATTGTTTTATTTTTTATTATAATATATATTTAATAAAATATATATTATAATATATAATATATATAATATATATAATATATATAAATATATATATATTATTATATTAATTAAATATAATATATAAATATAATATAATAATTTGAGTATAAATATAATATTTTAATTATATATTATATATTAATTAATATTATATTATAAATATAATAATTTAATTGCAAATATATTAATTAATTTACATATTATATATTATATTATATATTAATTAATATATTATATTTTAATTTAATATATATTATAATTATAATAATTTAATTTATATACTATTATATTTATAAAATTTTGCAATTTATTTTATTATTTATTAATTTGTTCATAATACTAACTTCGTAATAAGCTAGATATCCTTTTTCACGTGTATCATCACCTTCAATACCTGGACCATCTGCTGGTGAACCCAAATCTGTTGCATCTTCGTTAAAAAGTGTATACGAACGACCATAAGTTGGTATTCCTAATATTATTTTTTCTGGTGATGCTCCACTTTTTATCAAATGATTGATCGTATAATTCTACGATAGATTAAAAAATAGTTATGAACTTTTGTTGTTGTTTGTTTGAAATTTTGTTTCATATAAATGGGAATTGATAAACATTTCTTACAATTGTTAATTCACTGTCATAATTATATTCATTGTCCTCTTCCAATGGATAAAGTGGTGCATGATGATTTACAGCTGGTTCATAAGCTGAATGATAATCGTACGATAAAAGATTTATAAAATCGAGATATTCATTCAAACGAGGAACATCGTAACCTTTATCAATGTATTCGATACCAGCAGGCACAGCCATTGATAATAATAATCTTGGTCTTCCTGTTTTTTTAGATTCTCTTTCAAATTCTTCGTAAAGTTCCTATTTAAATATTAATTAAACACTTAACATTGTTAATTATCTGTTAAATTTAATGTTTTCTCAAATAGCTTATTAACTTGTGTTTTTTATGTGTGTAGGTGGTACAATTGAAAATATTTGTTATTTGATTACTTACTTGTACAAAATTGGCATAATTATTTTTATCATGAGGTTTACCACCATCCCTAAAAGCCGGATATTCCCAATCGAGATCAAGGCCATCGAAATGATTTTGTCGAAGAAATTTAATCGAATTTTTAACTAATTCTTTTCTTCTTGCAGGATCGGCAAGCATTGGTGAAAATCTACTCGAACCTTCGTTCCAACCACCGATCGCTAACATTGTCTTTAAATTTTTATTATACGTTTTCAATCCCGTAAATTTAGCATAACCACCTGCATCATAATTTCATCCATTATTTCAATAATTTGTAATGAGAAAAAAATAATCATATCGAACGAAAATTATACCTTTCTCGATATCTTGGTATTTATCGAAAGGTTTCAATGCATTGTCCTTGGTAAAACCGCCGAAAGCATAAATCAAATGGGTGCATAAATATGGATTTATGTTTTGTGGTGAAAATTTTGCCGTTCCCGGTCGATATATCGACCAATTAGTATAATAACAGACGATTTTTTTCTCTGCCATACCTAAATAAAAATTCAAATTTAAAAATAATATAAAAACAAAAAAAAAAAGCATCTGTGCAGATCACACAAGTTATGTTAGAAGTGAAACCTTCGAATAAACAAGTTTCGAGGATAATTTATTATATAATATTATTATAATATTATTTGTATTTTCAATTTATAATTATTTATTTAATTATTAATTTAATTATATAAAAATGAGTGCCTGTTCATATGCAACCCTCCAGACACACTTTGAAAATGTTGCTTGCGAGCGACATCTACTGGAACGGAATTTTTTTCCAGTCAAAACTGTTCATACACGTACGTATGACGGGTTGCCTATCTTTCGGGCAGAAAAAAATTTCGTCCCAGTTTGAGCAGCATTTTCAAAGTATGTCTGGAGAGTTGCATTCATACAGGCGCATATTTTCACAATTATTAAATAAATAATTAGAAAAAAGTACAAAATAATATTATATAATAAATTACCCTACTCCTGATAACTATGCACTTGTCTCATTCTTTCGAAACTTGATTTATTAAAGGTTTCACTTCTAACTTGTGTGATCTGCACACATATTTTTCTTTACTTGTTTCTTTTTTTTATAGATACGCACGAAGAATTTCGTATGTTTTTTTTTATTTGCAAGCATGCACGTAAGTTTGAGAATAATTTAACGATAAATAAATGGTATCTCTGACAAACATTCAAACATTCCACGTAAGAAATAGTCAGATCGTGACGTACCGATCTTTTACCTACAAATACAATATCCTGTACACATATGTGAATGCATGTGTAGGATAAATACGAACGGGGAACGCGTAAATGGTTTAGAGAAAACAGCCCAGAGAGAAATTCAAACGTGATTGAACTTTCATTCGTTTCTTCTCTCGAAACGTTTTAAACATCAATGTACTCTAAAACATAGATTCTTGAATCTTTATAGTTTGTCTTTTTCAAAATTTCACTCGTTAATTATCAATTTAATTATGGTTATAAATTTATATGTGAATAAAAGGTATAGATGAAAGATCAAATATTTGAAATATTTGAACATTTCAAATACACGTGTAATATTTAACATTTAATATTAATATTAATTAATACATTTAATATTATTTTTTCATATATCTCTAGTTTTTGTTTTCAATTTACTAGAATATAACTTCAAATAAATTATCATAAATATAAAAATAAACAAAAAAAAATAAAAAAAATAAGAAACTTCCTTTCCAATTTTCTTTTCAAATTTATCTCTGAATAAATTACTCCTATTTTGTTCATTATTGTTTTTAAAAATGTATTAGCAAATATTTAAAGAATGTCAAACCACTTGTCAATAATATCTGAAGTATGGTATTATGCTCTATTAAATTAATACTATTACACCAGGAACGTAGTATGGTGTTAAATCACATAAGACTAACATAACTAATCATAAGTATACTTAATATAGTGGGTGTGTTCAGTGAAAGAGAATCTCGAGTGGTTTTATATTGAACTATATATATGTATATATACCTACATACATTGTATATATCTTTTCAAAGCATCTAACCTAACTGGAAATGTTGAAAATATTTTCAAAGGTGTTCAACATTCTTCCTTTTACTCTTTGGTCTTACGTATTCAATTTACAACAGGTATAGAAAACATATGGATACATTTTAACACAACGAGAAATCATTGACTGACCTCCCCCTTCTCAACCTGACCCACATAACCACTGGTCAGGGTCACCCCTATCGGTTATCGACTTCTTCTTATTATTATTATTATTATTATACCATTAACATTTCTATTGTTTTTGTTTTGTTTTCTCAACGTCATTATTTATAAATCAGTGAAAATTCGAATCAATTTCATTTACATTTAGTGTTCATCGATATAACTCAATTTTAATTAATCTAATTTATTGTCTTTCTTCTTTTTTAATATTTCCTTTATTTTTTTTTTATTTTTATTTTTTTTTTTTGTTAAATTCAATTTATATCTAAAGTTTGTAATTTAAAATATACATATATATATGTAATAGAATTTGAAGTAATTAAAAGTATTTTAGATTTACTTAAGTAATCTGAAATAAATTATACAATAAATATAAAATAACAAAAAATAAATAAAAAGCATTACAAATTGTAAATGCTTATATGTTTTTTAAATTTTGGTTAACGTGGTTTCTTTTAATATAAAATTACTTTATTATTTAGCTAGACTAATTTAAAAAATAAATTATACCATAAATATAAAATAACAAAACATAAAATACTTCCTTTTCTAAAATTAATTGTGTATTTTAATTATAATTTAAAAAAATTTAAAAAAACGTATTTATATAATCCTTTTAATATTTTTTTTTCTATATTTCAAATTGTAAAAATGCTTATATGTTTTTTTTTTAATTTTGGTTAAATTGGTTTGTTTTACTATAAAATTAATTTTATATTTTACTAGAGTAATGTAAAATAAATTATACCATAAATATAAAATAACATAAAATAAAATACTTCTCTTTCTAAAATTAATTTTGTATTATAATTGATTTTAAAAAAGTTTAAAAAACGTATTTGTATAATCCTTTTAATATTTTTTTTTCTATATTTCAAATTGTAAAAATGCTTATAAGTTTTTTAAATTTTGGTTAACGTGGTTTGTTTTAATATAAAATTAATTTTTTATTTTACTAGAGTAATCAAAAAAATAAATTGTACCATAAATATAAAATAACATAAAATAAAATACTTCCCTTTCTAAAATTAATTTTGTATTTTAATTATAATTTAAAAAATTTTAAAAAGATATTTATAAGGCTTTTAATATATTTTTTTTTAATTTCAAATTGTAAAAATGCTTATATGTTTTTTTTTTAATTTTGGTTAAATTGGTTTCTTTTAATATAAAATTAATTTTGTATTTTACTAGAGTAATCGAAAAAATAAATTATACCATAAATATAAAATAACAAAAAAAATAAAAAAAAAAACTTCCCTTCCAAGTGAAGAAAGTTTTCATATTTAAAACGTATGAACAATTTAATGAAAGTTTTTGTTAAAGTATTAAATAACATCGAACCATTAGGTGCTTACATGTACGTTTGATAAATTTGATACACTTTTAGTAATAAATAACGAGTTAACGTTTATTTCCCGATTCTTTAATGAACACGTTTGTAAAATCATATGAAAAAAAAAAAATATATATATATAAAAAAGACATACACATACATACGCACAGATCATTATACAAATAAAATTTACGAGCACGATTTTTCTTTTTATTTTCCTTTCTTTCATTATATATTCTTTTTTCTTTTTCCACGCTCAATGAGTCTGACTATCACCGGTGTACTTGTATCACTTTGTGTTACGTCTATCAGAATTCTACCGTAACTCCTTTCTTAGAAAAAAAAGAAAAAAACATAACCAATTGCACTATGTTACGCCCTTTTACGTACTTTTCCACGACATTTTCACTTTGTAATTTGATGAACGAGGAAATAGAATTCTATTTTGTCTAATCAAAAGCATATTAGCTATTATTATTATTATTATTATTATTATTATTATTATTATTTTAATAAATATCTTCTTTCAATTGATATATTAAATTTTAAATATATAAAAGATTCAATTGTAATAATAATAATAATAATAATATTTTTATAATAATATTTATTTATATTATATATATATTTTATATTATATATATATATTATATAAATATTAATAATTTATATTAATATAATAATAATATAATAATAATAATAATTTAAAAGAAAAGTATCACACATTTAACATAATTTTTAATTTAAAATTATCTTAGGATTAATCGTAAACATAAATAATCCAAAATACACATATGACACATATGCACATTATTTAATAAAAATAAAAATAAATAAATAAAAAATTTCTTTGTAATAATGATAATAATAATTATAATTATAATTTAAAAGAAAAGTATCATTTATCATATAACATTTAATTTATAAAATTAATCTTAATCCTCTAAATATAAATAATCCAAAACATACATATGACACATATGCACATTATTCAATAAAGATAAAAATAAATAAATAAAAAATTTATTTGTAATAATAATTATTATAATTATAAATATAATAATAATTTAAAAGAGAAGTATATATCATTCATCATATGTTATAACATTTAATTTAAAATTTATTTGCACATTATTTGATACAAATAGAAAAAAAAAATTAGATAAAAGATTCAACTGTAAAATAATAATTATAATAATAATCCAAATAAAATAATAAAACAAAAATATAATTTAACTAAATAATTAAACTATAATTTAATTAATAAAATAAAAGTATCATTCATCATATAATTTTTAATTTAAAATTTATTTGCACATTATTTGATACAAATAAAAAAAAAAAAAATTCAATAAAAGATTCAACTGTAAAATAATATAATTATAATAATAATCTAAATAAAATAATAAAACAAAAATATTATTTAACTAAATAATTGAACTCTAATTTAACTAATAAAATAAAAAAGTATCATTTATCGTATAATTTTTAATTTAAAATTTATCTTAATCTTTAATATAAATAATTCAAAACAAACATATGCACATTATTTCATACAAACAAACAAAACAAACAAACGATAATTATATTGCTAATAATAATAATAATAATAATAATAATAATAATAATTAAAAAGGAAAGTATGTGTTTCGTAATAATTTTGAATCGAAAGTATTTTCTAATAGCACACGTAAGCACACTCTAACAAAACACATATACACATTAGTTTTATTTTCTATGTGATTACACGTATATATATATATATATATATATATATATATATATATATATATATATATATATCTAATAGTTATATGTATTTAAGTAGATGGAATTATGTCGATGAGATCAATAAGGATAACAAACAACAGTGAATCACACGTGTCTTGTGTTTAATGCTAATCAGTAAGCTTTGATTTTCACTCTAGCAAAGATTAGAATTGTGAAATGGACTTACCATCCTGAATGGTACCAAGGACAGCAATGGCAACCAAGAAGAACAACGTTCGTATCTGCTGAAACGGAAGAACGTTGCATTGCATTAATAATTCGTCGTCGTCATCCGTTAGTAAATTGTGTTTTGAATTTAATGACCTAACGGTATATACTTCATTTTTTTTTTTTTTTTTTTTTTTAATTAATGTTAGTTTATTCACACGAACGTTTATGACGAATGAACTGCGATTAGTGAACTTACGATGAATGATTCAAAGAACGAAATGTTGAACGTTTTATTATGAATGAAATGTAAGATTCTTACGAAAACATTTAATCAGTAGTATAAGTATTTGAAAATGAAATTTGAAGTATAGTCGTTCAGGACAATTTATCATTGTAATTTTTTTTTTTTCTTTTTCTTAACAATCTGGTAAATAATATAACTCTTCAATTTTTCGTAATAATCGACGTAACATCTTGGATTTAGAAATTCAGGAAGAATAATTTACATTTATTAGTATTCGTAATTGAATTATTCTTTTTTCTACTTTCTTTATTTATTTAGTTGTTGCAGTTAACGTACTTATTTTTATACACGGTTAATTTATTTCTAATCTTTATTATAATAGTCACGAAAGTACCACTCGAATTTATGTTTATCTTTAAATAACTTCATAATGTGTAATATACTCATGTTGCATATTATATTGCGAAAACGTTCACTTCTACATTTTATTATATCGCGAAGACGTTGTCCTTGCATTTTCATTCCTAACTAATGTCCTGATTATACCAGCAAGTAGATATTTCAAAATGTTTAAAATATATCTAATAAATCTATCAATGATATATTATTTAAACAATAATCTTTAATTAATGATATAGTTAATAGATGCATAACTGATTATGGTTGCAATTTTGATAGTAAAATCAAATCACGTCTTATATAATTTTATATTTATATTATATTTTTATTATTTTAATATAATTTATATTTTGTATTTTTATTATATTATATAATTTTATATTTATATTATTATTATAATTTTAATATAATTTTATTTTGTATTTTTATTATACTATATAATTTTATATTTATATTATTATTATAATTTTAATATAATTTATATTTTGTATTTTTATTATACTATATAATTTTATATTTATATTATTTTTATAATTTTAATATAATTTATATTATATTATATAATTTTATAATTCTATTATTTTTAGCATTTTAATATAATTTCTATATTGTATTTTTATTATATTATATAATTTTATATTTATACTATTATTATAATTTTAATATAATTTATATTTTGTATTTTTATTATATTATATTATATAATTTTATATTTATATTATTTTTATTATTTTAATATAATTTCTATATTGTATTTTTATTTTATTATATAATTTTATATTTATATTATTATTATAATTTTAATATAATTTCTATATTGTATTTTTATTATATTATATAATTTTATATTTATATTATTTTTATAATTTTAATATAATTTCTATATTGTATTTTTATTATATTATATTATATAATTTTATATTTATATTATTATTATAATTTTAATATAATTTATATATTGTATTTTTATTATATTATATAACTTTATATTTTTATATTATTTTCAATTAGGGATCTTTGCAAGATCCAAAATCACCTAGTTAAAAGTCAAGTATTAATTAAACGCATACAAACAAAATAAACAAAATAGAAAAACATTAAAATGTACGATAAAAAGTATCGATAGAACGAAACACCTGTAAAATTTGTTGGAGGTCAAATGCATGTATTTATTATCCTTCCAAATGTAATGACACGGTCAAAGGATAAACGTATTGCGACAAATTCTAGGTCTCTTGTTAACACACTGGTGTGCCACTCCTCGTTATGTAACTTGTGTAAAGAGAAAGCAAGAAGAAAGAGTGCCATTCCAAGAGACGACTTTCTCGTACGAGTTTTCGAGTTTTTCAAGTATTTGTTCACATATATATATATATGTGTGTTAGTATATGTTCGTATGAACGCTTTCATGCGTATACACGTTTATGTTGTTGGTTAGTAGTTACGCTATAACGTTATGTATTAACCGTAACGTTTCATTCCTATACGTGATAACTGTTTAATATTGTGTGAGTTTGAAAGGTAAATGAGCCGGCCATGAATTCCAGGTGAACCTGACAAAAGAGATCTTTTTTTTTCCCATTTTCCAGGACGACATTATTGTCATTAAATATCTAATCAAAATGTTTAATTTTATTTAACATTCAATTTCAACGAGACAATGATCTATTACAACGTTAAAACAGTTTGACTATAATTGTTCTAATCTTTGTTATCAATTATTAATATTAACAATTTTATTTTCTTACTTCTAATTTAATGAATTAATTTTTCAGAAATATTCACCCTACGAACTTATCAGATCAAGTAGACGCGTACTGTGCGAAAATTCAAAGTCAATTATTTCGAAAACAAAGCTTCAAGTGAACTATTTTTATTCTATATTTTTGATTTATTGTTTTTTTTGTAGAATTAACCCCTTTTCGCTTGTACCACCAGTTACCGACCACCCTGTATAATAATATATTAATATATATTATTTTTAATATAATATATGTATAATATATATTATAATAACTATATATAGTTATTATAATTATATATATTATATATATAATATATATATATATATATATTATATAACTATATATTATTAATATAATATATTATAATTAATTCGTATTAATATTAAAATAATTGTAATAATATATTATTCTTATATTATTAATATAATATTTCATAATATTATATTTAGTAATATTAAATTATAATTATGTTTTAATAATAATTTAACAATATATATAATATAATAATATATTTATAATATATAAATAATATAATTTATACGTAATATTGACTGTAATTATTTGAAATAATTTTTCTATTATTCAATTTATTCTATTTTTGTATTATTTANATATATATAATATAATAATATATTTATAATATATAAATAATATAATAAATATTATATTATAAATTATTAATAAAATATAATATAATATAAATATAAATTATATATTTACACTTATATTATAATATTATTATTTTAATCTAATAAATAATATAATTCAATATCAAAACTAGAATATTAACTGGTTTTACATTAAAACAAAATGAAATTTAACAAACAACAAAATTTACGATTCCTGTATTGGATTGTATAATATATATATATACATATGTGTGTGTATACAGGTGTGATAAGTATGAAAAATATTAAACAAGTTGCAACTTTCCTTGTTTATTCTATCAGTTTATTTTCTAATTATTTCTTCAGTTTTTATTTATTCTTTTTCTTTTTAGAAAACAATACGGATCTCATGTCAGACAGAAATTAACAAACACCGGTAATCGTTAATAATCTTTTATAATAGCATGATCAAATACGTTGTATTTACACGTATACACAGAAATGCATACAAACTTATATTGAAAGTAGAGAAACGTTGAGAGCTTTAAATGCAGGGTGGGTGAAGTCAAAAGATTCAACGTACCCTCTTAAATGTCAAATAACTTTCTATAGAATTCTCAATAGAGAGTAAAATATCTTGTAGAATTTGATTCTAAGTATTAGGTCGAGTCATAAATAACTTCCGTTTTTTATGAGACGAAGAATGGAGGTTTCTGCGACTGATAAGTACAAGATACCTTTCATGGAGTTTTTTTTTGCACTCTTTGTAATTGTTCAACGTATCTATTGGATTTTGTTCCAATATTACCTTTAAAAGGTTCATCAAAGTCGGAAATACGTCCTGCACTCGGTTCATCTTTTAAGATCGTATCACCAGAAACGGAATTTTACAAACCAATTTCTGACTGTTCTATCAGTTATCAGTCCTGCACTGTATACGCTGTATATTTTTTCAGTTGCCACTTTAGTGCTATTGCCTTGTTTCAATTCCTAAAGCATTACATGTCGAATATGCACTTTTTACTATTCATTTCAGTAGTTAAGAAAAACGGGTAAATGTAACATTGACTGCATAAAAAAGTTAATAGAAGACTAACTGAATCCTCATCTATGTAGTGATATTGAAAATCCGTTTGTTTCGGTGACTTATAGTTGGTAAATACGAAAAATAGATTCTACATAAGCCGCATCGGAAGTTACTTATGACTCGACCTAATTAAATTAAACTAAACTAAAATAAAACTAAATAAAACTAAAATACTAAGTATAAACTAAAATAAAACTAAATAAAACTAAAATACTAAGTTTTAACTAAAATAAAATTAAATAAAACTAAAATACTAAGTTTAAAATAAAATAAAACTAAAATACTAAGTTTAAACTAAAATAAAACTAAAATACTAAGTTTAAACTAAAATAAAACTAAAATACTAAGTTTAAACTAAAATGAAACTAAAATACTAAGTTTTAACTAAAATAATACTAAAATACTAAGTTTAAATTAAAATAAAACTAAATAAAACTAAAATACTAAGTATTAATACTAAAATATTTAATGATAAAACTAAATAAAAAATACTAAAATACTAATCAAACTAAAAACTAAATAAACCTAAATAAAACTAAAACTAAACAATTTGTTATTATTATATGATACTACGACATTATTATAATATATGGGATATATGTATTTTCATTTCAAAAAGTTTCATAACCAAAACGGAAGTTATACTTTCGTTTGATTATTTTCCTCTATTCGTGATTGATATATGGGGGGAGGGAAACATTATTATGTTATTATTAAGGTTTAATAATCGTAAAAGTATCATCGATTTAAATTTCTTTATATTCTTCCTTTTCTCTCCTTTTTCTTTTTCTTTTTTCTTTTTTTTTTTTCTTTCTTTTATTTCTTCCGTGAATTTGGCTTTCTTTCATTCTAAGCAAAAGTAAAAGTTCTCTCCTATCTCTTTTCCGTTCTTTTTTTTTCCTCTTTCTTTTTTTTTTCTCCTTGAACGTCACGAATGACATTTCAATGGTAAATCGACATCATCGATATAAACATAGAAGGATGATTT